TATCATAAAAATAGATAATAATGATTTTTTTATAAAAGGCTTCAGACATGATTCATCATGCATATAAAAGTACTTGAAGTAGATAAGCCTAATGACATAACCAAACATTCATATAATCCTACCTTCACCTTGAAAGTAATTTTCCATTATCACTTAGACAAATTCTAATTTCGTGGTAACTACTTTTAAGGTCAATTTTAGAAAAAATTTTAAAACCCACATAACATATCAAACATATCATACAGTCTTGTTTCTAGAAAGTTATATTTCATTGTGATTATGGTAATTGCTCTATTATCAACACACATGTTAATAATTTTTACAACTAATAGTGCAGGTCCTAAACAAGGGATCATACTTTCACAAATCAATTATTTCTCCGTGAATTCTTATGGTTGATTCTGTAGTAAGGTGAATTAAGTAAACTAGCTCTAAGAATCAAGTCTATATGGTGTCTCTAGATAGAGGAAGATGTATAAGAAAAATTTGTCTGATAGAAAACTTATTTAACATATTCTGTGATGTCTCAAGTATAACATCTTAATAATTTAAAGAAATATTCTCTTTTTTAACAAGCATAAATATTTCAAAATTTTCTTTCGAAGTATTAAATAGTTTTTTTTTATCAATCATCATAACCTACTTCTTCTTATCTTTTATTGTGCACGAAAAATCATTTTTCTTTAATGTATGTAAAACAAAATTGTTACCATTCTTATAAAAAACATAATATTTATCTTTGCCCAAGTGAGTTGCATCTAAATCATACTCTCATAGTCTACTCAAAATTAAATGACATGCATCCATCTCAACAATATCCTAATAAATTTCATCAAAATATTTTTTTTTGTTGTTAATTTTACTAAACATATCTATGTAACTTTGGTTTCATAATTATTCTTTATTCACCTAATTTTATGTGAATGTGGATGTTTTTTAGTTTTCAATTTCAATTTGACTTTTGCAAAATTCACAGCACAACATTTCAAACAAGTATTTGATTTGTCACTTTCTTCATTACATCTATAACATTTAGGAATAGATTTATGAATATGTAGATTTCTTTGAAAATAATTTTGTCCACTAGGAATAGATCCATTTGATTTTCATGCAACTAAGGTTGTGGTTTTTCTATTGGCAAATAAAATGTGTTTGTCGACCTCTTTAACTAAAAATTTGACACAGTATTAGAATTCCTTATTCTTGTTATACCTTTCTCCAATAAAGCCTTAGCATGTTCTAATGCCATAAAAACATCATTTAATTTGAAAAACAATTACAAGGTTATTTTTCTTCAATATCTATCAATTTCCACTTTTCAATATAGATATCATATAAGATTCAAATTCAGCTAAATCAATTCTTGAAAAAACTTGTAGAATTTCTCAACATACTATGTCATAGATCTATTTCTTTGTTTAAAATTTTAATATTTTTATATAAAATAGGTTCATAATTAGATGATAGAAATCTATATTTTAATAATTTATTTATTTTATCTAAACTTCAAACTTAATAATTTTCTGATCTAAAAAGATGGCCCTGTACATGCCCCCCCCTTTGAGTTTATAGGCCACTAATTTCACTTATTTTTCATTAGAAATCTTCATGTATTCAAAAAATCTCTCAACTTTTGAAATTCAACCTATAAATTTCTCATTTTTCAAATGTCAATTAAAATTAGGAAAATTAATTTGTATTTGTAAATCTCTATAATTATCATACCTTGATCAATTTCTTGAGCTTTATATGTGATTTGAGAAAGTTTTTGGAAGGGACAACAAAAATTATATTACTTTTGACCAATTGACCATGAGATTGAGATTCCTTTATTACATTCATTCAAGCTAAAAAAAAATTCAAAGTACAATTAAATCTTTAATTTTTTGTTTCATATGATTCTTGAAATCAACTCTGATTTTGAAATAAAAATATCTCAAAACTTTTATTGTCATCGATGTGGATCCCTTTACATTGTGTCATCTTCAAAATTCAAATCTTTAATCTTAGCCTAGGTCTGATACTACTTGATGTAGTGAATCTTCATAAAAGAATATCTTGGGCAAGTTGTGAACAACTTAAATGTTGTGGGGGTCAAAGTCACGTCTTCAGTCCTTCAAAATTGTCCTTTAGTGAGGAGGACAAATCTTATCAGCTTACAAGGGGGTGTTTATGTCTTAAACAAATCAAAAACTAAGTTCATTGAGTCTACAGGGTGCAGGAGTCCATCAATAGAAGACGAGAACTTCATGAAAAAAAACTCGTGAAATTTTATTGATAGAAAAGTGGAATGATTATTAGGGGTAGCTTGAAATAGGCTAAATAATCTAAATTTGGTGTTAACATTTGAATTTTTAAAGGAAATTGAATTTCAAAATAACATTTTAAAAGTAAAATAAAATTCGAATCTCTAATGAAATTTCAAAATAAAATTAGAATTTTGAATAAAACTTGAATTTCGAATGAAAATTTTATTTTTTAATTAAATTTGAAAATAGAAATAGAAAGGTATAAAAAAGGTTGAAAACAAAAATATGGGCCCAATTTTTTAATTGGGCTAGATCCAATTTGAAGTGGGCTTCAAGTCACACTAGGGACTTTATATATGTACATAATTTTGGGACACTTACACCCATGAGTTCTTGCCTCCGATAAACAAAATGCCTAGGACCATCTCAGGGGAGAGATTAATGGTCCGACCCCATTCTTATCACATGTGATGAGATCATAACCAAGCGCACTTGTCCGCTCCCATTAATGATGTGGAAGGGGAGTGGTGCTCATATGCTTGTGGAGTGGATACCACTTGTTCTACCAGCTCATAATTACTCCCCACCTAAGTCCACCCACTTAGGAAATCCCAATCAGAGGGTCATCTCAAGCTGGCCAATAGTCCCCTCCTTCTCTTTTATTACTTCATTTTAACTTGAACATAAAAATCATATAAAATCACATAATTAATAAAAAATGATCATTAGCCATATAAAAATTAGTTTTATTAATTGAAGACAAAGATAAAACTATTTATCATGAGTTAATACATAAAACATATCATTTAGTTAATAATTAACTCATAAAAATATAAATTTATTTAGCATCTATTAATAGGGAAGTTTTAGAAACAAAGAAATGATGCTTTCAAATATAATTTTATATAAAAAATTCCATGATTTATAGTATTATTCGTACCATCATCAATATCCATCCATTGATGTGAAACTTGTGTAAACATAGAGGTGGTGTTTAGAAATATAATTTTACATAAAAGTCACAATAAATTGTAAGATTATCCATATGGTCTTAATTGAGTATTTATCGATTTGGAAGTTGTAGAAACAAAGAGGTGGTGTTTTAAAATATAATTTTGTATCAAATTTCTCATAAAGAGTAACATTGTGTGTATTATCTTAATTAAATATTTTTTGATGCGAAAGTTTTGAAACTAGGAAGGTGGTGTTTGAAAATATAATTTTATTTAAAAGTCCTCATGATTGGTAATATTGTCATTCCAATTTTTATAAGCATGTATTGATGTGGAAGTTGTGCAAATAAGATGTAGTATTTTGAAATATAATTATGTATAAAAATTTGCATGAATTGTAACGTTGTCTATACTATCTATATTGTGCATCTATTAATGTGGAGGTTAGAGAAAAAGAAAGGTGTTATTTTTAAATGTAATTCTACATTAAAGTTCAGATTATTTGTAACATTATATATATATTGTTTTACATTTAACATATATTGATGTGGAAGTTGTAAAAATAGAGATGTAGTGTTTTGAAATGTAATTTCATATAAAGTCTTCATGAATTGTAATATTATTTAAACATCTTTATTATGCATATACTGATTTGGAGGCTTTAGAAGTAGAGAGCTATCATTTTGAAATGTAATATGTATAAAGTTTCCATAAAATTTAATAGTCTCTATTGTCTTTATTATCTATTGGGCGCTTTGAAATTTAATTTTATATAAAAGTCTCGATGAATTATAACATTATTTGTAGCATCTTTATTAAGCAGCTATCATCCCTCTACCTTCGTGCCCTCCTAACTGAGCTCGCCATCCTGCCTCCATGGGCCCTACCAGCTAGCCACCACCCACCCTCTCACACCGGCCGCCGGATCTCCTCCACTACCATTCCTTCTCGAAGCTTGCCCATATGCACATCCCAAAGCCCTCTGCAACGATCCTTGGGTTCATGCTGAATGCCAACATGCTGCTGCCCGAGCCCCTCTCGAGCACCACCTTTCCCACTTGGTGGGAAACTCCGACAGGCAACATGTCAATCGACCTCTGTGGTCACTTCCTCCGCCGCCTCAGCCCCCAAGAAGCCCGATCGGTGGAAGCTGGCTATGCCAAAGGTCTCCATCTTTGGCCTCGTCTTCTATTTCAGCGTCCGGCTAGGACAACTGTTGAACGCCCAGTAAGTAGGTTCTTGAGATAATGTCGAAAGGGATGGTGGTGCCAGAGGTTCGGCTGCAGTGTCCATTGCTCGGGTGTGTGGAAGATAAATGGGTTGTGATAAGACTGGAAAAAGGCGAGGCCTCATGTCAAATTCGCATCCTAGAGATGGTGGTGCCAGAGGTTCGGCTGCAGTTTGAATTCAATCACTCGAAGAGTGCTGCCGGGTCCATCCTAGGCCTCCAATCAATGCAGTAGCGAATAAAATAAAAGTGTCTCAACATCTCTAGGAGACTGTTATATACATATGTACCAGGTTACATCATCAATAAGCGGCAGGGAAGGCAGAGCGAACAGCAAATGTTGCTTTCTTTATCAAACATCACCTGCCTTCCACTGCTCTAGTCATAGACCAAACATCAGAGGAGTAAGCAGACACCTGGCGAGATTGATGTTCGAAAAAATGACAGAACGGGAAACGAAGATAAAAAGGCAAAAAAAAAAAAAAAAAACAGTAAGCTAGGGAAAAAAAAACTATGATTACAATGCCGAGGAACTTGATGGAGAATGGGATTAAATATCACACTCCCCGGTTAAAGGTGGAGATCGTCCAACATAATGTCTTGAGACAGCAGCTTCAGTTTCTGCAGTGGCATTGACGGAAGAAGAGCATAAAACCAATTAATATAACTATCTAGGTGATCGAAAGCAGAGTTAAGATCTAATGCGGCGGTTCTCAACCGTGTTGAAGTAACAGAAACATAATATTTATCCAGGCCAATGTCATACTCTTAATTCCAATGTCCAAGACAACATTCTTGAATCACAATGATTTACAATCAAACAGGCTAAGGATAGGAATGGTATTGGGGGTCCAATAAAAAGACATTTCGAAGATAACAAGATGAATTATCTGTAATACACAATAAAATGATGCTCACGGAAATGGAAATTCATCATCGGATATATGGAACAAGGGTCAAACATTCTCACCGTCATGAACTGTGGGGGATCATCAAGACTGGATGACCCAAGGATAACTTCTCTCTTTAGCTTGGAAGTGAGCTTGTGAACAACACGCAGCTGTGAAAATGCAAGGTGAAGGTGAAACAGGGAAGATTACTATTACTTTTAAAAGGAAAAATTGTAACACGAAAGATAAAAGGGTGGGTCCTGAAAGGGAAGGAATCAAAAAGGAGTTGCTCCACCAATAATAAAATTGCACGAAAGATCAAATTGTACAAAATAAATACAATAATACAAAAATGCGCTGGCCCATCTTTCTCGTAACACGAAAGATAAAATGGTACCTCAGATCGAGTTGCTCCACCAATAATAAACACAAAAATGCGCTGGCCCATCTTTTTAAAGTCACTGGATGCATGCTTCAGTATAGAGTCACTGAAAAGTCATTTTCCAATTATCAATTAGTTATAAACAGGTAATATCTATTAAAATCAAATAAAAAATTAGGTTAAGGTACAGTGTCCCCCAGCGTTGCAGCCTCAAATTCAACATACCAACCAGCACTAGTCCTATATTTTCTATTAATAATACCCACATGGAATTGAAAATAAGAGGGAAGGCCAGTTGACAGTATATCGGAATAAACAAGAAAGCTTCAAGCTAAACGAATCCTAACTTCAGTAACTTATGTGAAAAACTATCAGAAACCTTTTATTACAAAAAAGAAAACATTGACAGTTGCAGTATTTTAGAATAATCACGAAAAAGATAGTTCGTACCAAAAAATTTGGCACTAAAGATATATTAATTTCATATTACTATTTATCTTACGCCAATTCAATCAATTGACATCATGAAGAACTTACACACAAATAGAATATAAAAAAAAATCCTTATGTTTGAAATTTTATCAATTACTTGAAGTGTCTCCATGACAAGATATATAATTACTAAGTAACAATATTACATCATCCTTTTACAGAGCTTTTTTTCTGCCAAAATAGATTCTCACCAACCTATTCGGTGGTTCATAAAAGTCGATAAGGTTATTAGCTAATTGATGCAGTAATTGATGACAGTGGTTTGATAGCCCAGAGATGAGGTAAAGCACTTACCATTCAACATCTGAGAGAATCCAATCGGTATGCCATTCACAGCCGTCCTAGAGGCTCATAACTACTTTTTATGACACGAATGTCTTCTACATATGAAGTACAGAAATAAAACGAAGATTTTTTGTCCAATAGGGCTTTATACAAATAAATGCTCAAGAAAAACAACAGAAGACCACCAGTGCCCCAAGTGACCAAGATGAAAACCTTTTCGTCTTCCTTGATTATGTGCTGCAGTGACTAATAATGACTCACTTCCTAGGTGACAGCTAGGAAACTATATAATACATAATAAGGATGAAAGTCAATGGGGTAATTTCAATTTAAACCAATGATTAGAAGATCTATGCATCAACTTAAGATTTGAAGATTTCGAATGGATCTCAATTTTCTTTTAAGAGGATAGTACAGATGGATCTCATAGTTAATCCTACTCCAAAAGATTAAGAACATTTTAGAAAATAATAAAGAACATGAACCGGTTCAAAATAGTTCATGCTTGATGGCTTGTAAGCGAACAAGCCGAGTGATGTAAAGTATCAGCAGAGGTCACAACAGACAGAGGGTTTGATAAATCACCAAAAAAAAGTTTTAAAGCTCACATCTAAGGTCTTTAACGAGTTAAGAGCAATAACAATGAATGTACCAATCAATTGTCACCAACTCAGACTCGGGCTCCAATTCAGACAGACAAATCTGAACAGATCAGATGGACTAGGTCTGACTCAGCCAACTCATATGAGCTATGTTACAAATCTTAACAGAAATTTATAAAGTAAAAAAATATATATTCAGAATTCCCTTTGTAGACAACGGCTAAGACAAAACTCCAACTATAAAAGAAACTATAATATAACAATTCGAAACTAGCCCATCCTATTCATCACATCTCATTTCCATTCACTCAGATCCAAGTGTTGCATTGGAATGAGAAAATAGGAAGGATGACTCCTATGAGATTAATGGATTGGTGATGTGGATCATTGTCACTTCAGCTGCCTGTTCTTTCTCAGACAATAATAGCATAAAGTTTCTTTGACTCATCAACTGAAGTAACTTGCACCCAAGTGGAGCCAGTTTGAAACGGCCCAACCCTTCTTCATACAGTCAGAACCCTCCACGCATGCAATTATGGAGAGCCTGACACATTAGTCCTCATGAAGATCAGAAGTAAGGCGGTGAAAAGCTTTACCCAACTCCCATAAATAAAACTACAAAATGTTTCATGAGAAATTTATTCCTGAACATCTATTAAGTTCCGGCACCAATGATAAAATAGGTGCAGATACTAAAACTTGATTCTAAGAATCATCAAAGTTCCAAGGATGCATTTTTCTTCTAAGAAAAAATACTAATCCAGCAAATGAAACTTCACTCTTGTAATCGATGACCAGAAATATCATTATCATAGGGAGTGTTGAAAGTGCCCACTAAGCATAAGCTCCTAAAATATACCTTGAATACCCATCATCAGAATTGCGAGGTTTAGCCCAGGTTGCAGTTCGTCTAGATCTTATTGACTGTGCTGGTTGAGTTGAACGCGTGGATGAAATTGATGTTCCGTTAAACGATGGACTTGGATCATTCATACACGGATACTCATCCTTTGGCAGTTCACCTTTGCTGAGTTTCTCAATTAGCTCCTGAAAAAGAGATAAAAATACAAAATCATTTTGACAGTAATTGATGAGGAAACATACTGCTGTTCCTCTACATTGATCACCTACAGGCATGAGTGCTAACCCACCTCTATCATGGGATAGAACCGTGCAAGTTGCCATGTTCCTTCCTGATCATGCCGCTCCTTTCTGGAAGCATGCTTCTTCTAAATTAAAAGGAAAAACGCTGAGTAAGCACCAAAAAGTAATTACTGTGGAAGGAAGAACAGGAAATTGAAGAATTTAAAGACAACACATACAGATGTCTACCTTTTGTATGTCAAATTTGAGAGAGAAACCAGAACCAGTTGCCTTCTTGCTATCTGAGCCCCCCAAGAATTTCATGTTATTTACAGCATTCATATCATCAGAAGATAATCTGGCTAACTGTAAAATAAAAGGGGCACATGTTACAAGGTAAACATACAATCAAGGTTAAATCAAGGTACAAAGTTAATAATATAGCCATATGCACCATAAAATAATGTTTGACAAAGATCAGACCACCTCTCAGAAAAGTTCATCGATAAAAATATGTTCGTACGTGATCAGAAAAGCAGACAATGTGAATGTAAGTCTAAACTTCATTATAAAATGGAAATTACTACGCACAAGGACACCATCAAGATGAAGGACAATCAAACAAAATAAATGAGTCAAAAGATGGCATTCAGATTAAACAAAAGAACTCCCTTTCCACCACAAACATAAGCAGACAACCAAAACATTCAAACCCTTTTCATATCAGGACGACATTTTCCACAAAGCATGTAATTGACGTAGCCAAAGACTAACTGAAATCGTTTCACTGAGAAAGAAAAAGATTAGAATCACTACCACGACACGAATTTAGTTAATAACAACAAATGTTAATAGCTACGAACATCAAAATATCTGTTACAAATCAAATCAGTTTGTTCAGACTGAAACAAAATGAACAGAATGCAAAGAATGGAGATCCTGAAAAGAAAGAAAAGGAACCCAAGGCGACAAAAATGAATGTTCTTCGATCACTGAAAGTACGGCAGAGTTCACTTCTCTTTGTATGACTGCTGCAAGGAACTATGCGCAGGACTGATAGCAAAAACCAAAAGCCATGGTACAAGAAAGGAGTAGATGTAACACTACATTAACAGACTAATGCATTGTCTATGAAGAAAAAGAGACATTCAAGTTGCAAACACCATACTCTATCTACCAACCATGCTTTGGGGAAAGCGAAAATAATGGTCTGTGATGAGTAAATATCAAACAATAGTTACGACTTCCGTCTCATTGTGTGTTCTAGCATCATCCAGCTCTCATGCAAAATTGATTTTGCATGATAAAAACAAGAATCAAAAGATATTACTAACTTATGCATTCAACCGATTTATTCAACATAGACATGGTATACATAACCACAAAAGTACAAAAGTGGGCAACGATACAGCTAAGATTCAGCTAGAAAATATATGAATATGGCAAACAAAAGGTCCTGTTACCAACAATCCACACGGCAGGGGCTTAATTTGCAAATACTTAAATGAAAACATAAACTGAAAAAGATTCATCTTGAACTGCCCATGCAGGCTGATGAAAAAAGGTTGAGGAGCATAGAAGTTCTGGCATTCTTTCAGATCAACAAAACCAGATCCTTAGTACAATTTTGCAGAAAAATTATGCTCCATTTATGCATCCAAGTTTCAACATAAAAGAATTGAGGTCCGGATAGCATTTAATCAGAACTAGAAATCGACCAACACCAGAAACCATGCAAAAACAACTTCAAGGAATCATGCAAATCATTATGAAGCAAAGAATGTCTGATAAAGATGAGAACCAGTGCCAAGAAACCTCAAATATGCATCCTTTTCTGCAAGAAATAAAAAGTATAAAGAAAACTTTAACTCAGCAAACATTCTCATGGGAAGCAGGAAATTCCTGTGCTGAACAAACTAAAACATTTTTTTAAGTTTATCTCCAGACATAGGAAGCAGGGCATCCAACTAACAGATTTATCTCTGCACCTATGGGGAGATAAACAGAAGGGAAAGGAGTGCAATTTTCGTATATTCTACATCTATTCTGTATACTGACACTTTAATATGTATGGTAAGGAATGTTGTCCTTAAGGAGAGCACTCAGGACAGAACAGGCTGAATAAAATTTGCATAATTGGAAAGAATCATTTCTTTCGGAAAAGTTGATCAGAGCCAGGTCCTAGTACTTCTACGTTTCTGTCAGGTGTAAAACAGTGAACATTATCTAAACTTCAACAGATCGTATCATTACCTGGAAATTTTACAATACATAAACATTTATGTTAACCTATGGCATTAATTATAAAAAAAATCTACACATCTCTGGCTGTTATGTTATCAATCAATTTGATTACGTACAGTACACTATCTCAGCATGCCTACATGCTAGTGTTTTGTGCTGTTACTCCAGGTTAAACTTTGCCAAACACGTTTCTTAATAGAATTTGATTCCGATATAGTGCTCTATGTTAATGTAACATAAAACAACTGGTTCTGAGTGAAACTGTATTCATGAGCTACTATATTTTCCTCAAGTATTTATGGATAAAAAAGTACGTTTCATTTTGGTAATTAAATTGGATATCAAAACTGTACCACCTTTAACCATATGTCTAGGGTACAGAACCTGAAACTTTCCCAATATCATCCAATCTAACCGGTAAATTCTCACCTATTAAACTGTAAAACGATCTATCAGCCACATAAACAATACACCTGGCAGGACTCCCCCATTATTTAAATAGTAAACAAGTCATGAAAATCAAAGAATATTCTATAATCCGACCAATAAAATAATAAATTCAATTACTCTCATGCCTCCCATGCCTGAAGAGAATCCCAAAAACAATACACTACTAAAGAGTGGGACTACTTTACAGGTCTATTTTTTTAAGGGTATCTAAATCATATACTCTACATCTTCCATTCATAAATGGTATCATTGAGCTGCATCTACAGTTGTAGTTAGTTATTTGCAGATACTGGTAAAAACTCCCATTAGACTCAACATTATGTTCATGAACTTCATTCAAAAATCATGCCGAGTAAATGATGAAGAGAGAAATAGTTACCTGCATCAACTTTAAGCCTTTGTCACCTTCAAACTTCTCTGGATAAATAGAAGCATAAATCATTAGCAAACGCAACTTGTTTTCGCGAGTTGCCTCCTGCACAAAGGCCATCACTCATCAGAGTTATCTCCTGCCAGATTGGAAAATAGCATGGTCTAAGACTAGTTAATCTCGATCAGCAACTTTTTTTGCAAAAGAACCTGATTTGCCCGGAGAAAATTGATCATTTCCTTTGTCCCTGCATCCCCAAAAACAAGATCTTGCTCTAGCTGACCAACATCCCGAAGCCCAAGCTCCCTGACTAGTTTGTTTAGCTTTCCAGCAATCTGCAAAAAAGAAATTTCAGCATAATAATAAATTAAATTCACAAGAAATACATTCATTTAACATTTTATTGTGGAACAAGTGACAACCAGTATAATTACATGACTACTTTCTCCTTTCCAAGATTCATTACAAGAGGCGATTAAAAATAAAAAGCATGATTTCCTGACAGCAGATGGTTCCAAACGTTATCTATTAAAATGAAAACAGGGAGATACATTCCCACTATCAACTCTCAAAACAAGCAGATGGATATACAGATGTACACAATCAGTTGACAGAAAAAAAAATTCATCATTATAGTGTTTGCGAATTTAAATCAAAACTCCTCATGGCAAGACAACTCAATTCTCTCACGATAAAAGAAACAACAAGAATAACTATGCTCACTAAGCAGATAGCATGGCAAAACATGTCATTGTCATGTACTGCTTGTCCAAAGTGTCGATAGGGTGCACAGCATTGAACAAAGATTGTTTCTTAGGTATTAGATATCTCACATGCAACATTGTGTCCAAGGAATAAGCTACAGCCTCAATCAACTTTTAGCAAATTGTTTAACATTTAAACTGGTAATTTCGTTTTCCAAAGAGAATGAAATGAAAGCAGCTTTGTTTTGGTAAAAGCCTTTAATAGGCCTGAATTTGGCATTTTCTTCTTCTTTGAAGCAACTGCATAAAAATGGTCCTTTTATCGGAGCAACCAATAAACAATGTCCATGTTCTCTCTGAATGCTCTATGTTTTTCTTTTTGCTATGTGCATTCAAGTTTTTCTGTCTGCTTATCAATTTCTCCAACGCAAGGAAGCATCTGAGCAAGGTTTTAAAATTCAAGCTTGCCTCCGTGGCAATGTCGTTTCCATGATAGAGACAACCTAATTAATAACAATATTGTTTGGTGTAAATACCAAGATCACAAATGGATCAAGTAGCATAACCTGTAAACGAAAATCTTTATGCATATCCACACCAAGGTAAACACCACGTGTAGTGACTTCGGGTGACATCTAATATTTGTCTACCATCAGGTAAATAAATTTTATGCAATCTGATAACAAGGAAAAGGCAAGTATGATTATTAAGATGTGCATGATTATTGAAGTTATTATCATATTTAATAGTAAGGAATATGATATTCACACCTAATAGAGGCATACACGATCGCACTTGTTTCAGAGTTCCACTGTAGACTGATAGCTATGATATGTTATTATTGATAGTGATAGAAAATTGCAACGTTCTTCCAATAATAATGGTTTAAAATTTAGGACTGAAAACTATTGAATATTATAGGCTCATCTAGGTCATGGCCATATTGGCCTCTCGATTAGGTTTTGAGTCCTTCCCTCTCCCTCTCCCTCTCCCTCTCCCTCTCCCTCTCTCTCCTTTATGTACTCTCTATTTCCATCATGGTATCAGAGTGGGTTCCATCTGGCAGAAACCCTAGAGGTGGGGCAAGATGTCCTCCGCTCACCATCACCGCTACCAGCACCACCCCTGTCTGATCCTGCCACCAGTACGGCACCACCCTGTCCACTGCTGCCCCTATCTGGGGTTTCTCTATTCGGCACCATTCATCTGTTTGGCATCATCTTCTGTTTGGCACCATCTTCTGGTCGCCATCACCCCCATCTCCATCTGTCTGCGTCTCCTTCCAACCCAGATTGGAGGGCTCTCATCCTTCATCTGGCAGAGACCAGAGAGACACCCACAGCCAATGTCACTACCAAGTGGCACTCTCTCCACAGGGATCAGTAGTCAACAGTCAAGTCAAAATTCAACGACTCAATTAAGAGTTAATGGTCAAAGTCAACAATCAAATTTGGATTGTGTCTATTATTTTCCCCGTGATGGCTGATGAATCAAAATCCTTGATAGCTCTGCAATCAACAGCAACAATCCGGAGTAATATCATTACAACTTGAAAATTAAATGACAAGAACTATACTCTACGGAGTAGATCTGTCAAGACCTATTTCAAAGGTCAAAACAAGACTAAGCACCTCACAGATGGACCCCCCCCCCCTCTGATCCAGCTAGATTGGAACAATGGAAACAACAAGATGCAAATCTTCTCAGCATATTATGGAACTCTATGGAGTCAAATGTTGATGATTTGATAAATCATCTTGATACTTGTAAGGCAATATGGGACCATCTTGTTCTTACGTTTTCTAATAATATTTCAGGAATATATGATATGATTATTAAATATTATGGATTGAAGCAAGGAGATAAGAGCTTGAGTCAATATTTTAGTGAGGTGACGTGACTCAGGGATGATCTTCATACTTTATTACCTATCTCTAGGGACATTCAGATGATGCCAAACCAGCGTGCACAAATGACTATCCTGAAGTTTCTTGTGGACTTTGAGCAGAATATGATGGTGTTCGTAGTCAGATTCTATCTGGAGATGAATTGTCATCACCTGCTGAGACATATCAACATATCTCTCAGGCTTTTCTAACCTAGGAAGGTACACGAACTACTTCAACAGCTAGTGAGACCACTGCCTCGATGTCTACTCAAGCAGCTGCAGAGACTACTCACGTGGCCATGGGCAAGGTGTTGGTATTCACGTGACTGCACTCATTGTAGAAGAAGGGGTCACACTAGAAATACCTGTTATGACTTACATGAACATCCTCTAAAACAACCAATCTAGCTGCTTCAAGAGAGAAGGGGGAGAATAGAGTTACTCGCCAGATGATATTGTCAAATGAGTACACTCAAATCCCCCAGTCTTGTGCAGCTCAGCAGGTCTCATCAATAGTTGCATTTCTCATTCAGATAGTGTGCACTCCTTGTATTTCTCAAGAATCTCATATTTCTTCACTAGTGAATCGCCACTTTGAATTCTTGACATTAGTGCTTCTAATCATATAATAGGCATATCTAGCAAGTTTACATCTTATTCTAGTCATCCTGGTGTCTCTAATGTTACCCTAACTAACAAATCAACCACACATATCTTAGGTGTGGGGACAATATCTCCATCATTTGAACTATCTCTTAAATCAGCCCATGTACCAAAATTTCCTTTTAACCATCTCTTTTGCTACTAATGTGGTGAATCAATTTCTGGAACAACCATACACCAAGCATCTCAATATGAGCATACAAATATTGAGGAATCTCATAGATAGTCCAAATAGAAGACGGCTATACAAGAATAATGGTCATCACACAGCACAAGGTTTTTCAAATGTCGATTGGGCTTTTTGCAGTCTAGACAAGAGATCTATTACTGACTACAATAATTTCCTTAGTGGCAATCTTATTTCTTAGAAAGGTAAGAAACAACATGTGATCTTGCAATTAAGTGATGAATCATAGTACAAGGCAATGCATATACTACATGTAAACTTATATGGATCATACATCTTTTTGAAGAACTTGGTTTTCATCATGAAGGTCCTGTGGAGTTTAAATGTGAAAATCAGGCAGCAATTCATATCTCGTCTAATCCTATGTTTCATGAGAGAACAAAACACATTGAAGTTGATTGTCACTTCATCAAAGAAAAGATCCAAGTGAAACTCATCACTATAGTCTAAGTTAACTCTACAGATCAACTTGCATGTGTTCACCTAGTCTCTGAATTTTCATAGGATACAATTTCTATGTAACAAGCTAGGTGCATATGACATATATGCTCCAGCTTGAGGGGGGATGTTGAATTTTATAGGCCCATCTAGGTCATGGCCATATCAGTCCAACTAGGTATGAGCCCTATCTGCCCATCTAGGTCCCTTGAGTCTCTCAATTAGGGTTTGAGTCGAGTCCTTTCCCTTTCCCTTTCCCTCCCTCTCTCTCTCTCTCTCTCTCTCTCTCTCTCTCTCTCTCTCTCTCTCTCTCTCTCTCTCTCTCTCTCTCCTCTCTCTCTCTCCTTTGTGTACTTTTTGTTTCTATCAAAAACAAAGAAGCACCCCACTTGTATAAGGTTAGATGAACCAAGAAGATATCTAATAAGGAGATAAAAACTCAATAATGTGATGCAATCAATATGGATGCATATTGTATAACTTTAGAAAAGTCATGATAGTTTGATGGCAATATTATGTCTTGGTATGCACAACATTAGTTCCATTTAGAAGAATAATGAGAAGATCATTTATCAACTATGGAAAAAAGATCAGATAAAAATCATATCACAGAAGAAAAATTCGTTATAAATGTTTATTGAGAATGGTTCTAATAAGATGTTGATAAAGCTGCAAAAATTCATCTAAGGTAGAATCAACATCAAGAGAAATCTTCTTCTTCTATTTCAGCATGCTAGTACTCTAAGGGTGTGCCTAACAATCTCTTCTCTCACACCAAAGGTGAGCACCACGTTAACTTCAGTCCTTGGCCAAGCCTACCTAAGGAATCTCATTTATGAATGAGTCCTAAGGAGCATAAAATTATCAAAGAACAATTAGATGGCTTGATGTAAAATGGGCTAGCACAAGAACAGATGAGTCTGTATGTATCCAGCTTTATATATAACAAAAAATCTTAAAAACCACCATATATGTCTTGATAGTAAAAAAATCAGCAATGTTACTAATAAATATATATAAATATAAATTCTTTGTGTTGAACTAAAAGTACACATGAAATAGTATTTAAATAGTTGCCTTGCCATATTTTCAATTAATGTTCACGATAGAATATATTGGTTCAATTGTGAGGACACAAGTAATGTTATCACAAGAGATGCAAGTAATAGCATTTTACAGAAATAAATCTTCATAAAGCACACTGGAAGTGAACCACCAATTAGATGGTGCTTTATGTTGTGGTGCATACATAGCACAAATGAGTAATGCTTGGCATACCAAGAATTTGATCACCAGGTACTACAATCAACATTCAAACTATTATTCATAAAACATTAATAAGTATGTACCATAGATAACATTTGTCTGACAATTTAGTTTCAACTTAAAACATTAATGAAGTTGACTAAATCATGTGATGAGTACACTTTTAAAATTGTTGCACAATGACCTTGCAAACTAAAATAAAGGGGTTTGCTTATTTGCAAGAATCATATAGGCTAATAGAGAGTTAATATGGTAAGGCAGACCATTTAAGTACTATATCAAGTGGAGCAGAAGCATAAACAGCCTGAAGACCCATTTAAGTTGAAGTTCGCAAAATTATGAAATTGGGCATGTAACAAGACATGTTTTAAGACATTCATATTTAGATTTCCCCTTTCATATTTTTATTTTTAGTTCTTTTTTTTTACCTCCTATCTATTTTTAGCTCTTTCTATTTTTATCCTTCCTTCAATTTTTAATTTCTTTCTATTTTAAAACTTATATTTCTATTTTCGAATTTCATTTAAAATTCAAATTTAGATGACGAATCAAGAGACTTCAACCTATTAAAAGGCACCCCATGTGGCCCAAGAGACATTCTAATTTCAATGAATAAATTTCATGAGTTTCTTTTGCTCGTACATACTCTCCATTTGCTAGTGGACTCTAACATCCCTATGGACTCAGGAAGCCATTTTTGAACATGTGGACTCAAGATCAACCCCTTGTGGATTCGAAGGCTGAAATCTCTATGTTTTGTGGACTCAAACCAAGGAGTTTTTTAACAAAATCATGTTCCTTGTGAACTTAAGGTCATGATTTTACTTCCAAAATATTCAAAAAAAACTGAACGTGATCCAATAATCTGCTACATCATGTATGGTATTAGTCAAGAAGAGGATTTCATTTACAAGAAGAGTTTTGTTTTTGCTTATCCATAGTAAGCCATACAAAAAACACATTATATCAGTGGAAGAATAACATAACATGTCATTGTATACAGGTCAACTTCATTATATGATAAAAGACAAGCAACATAGAGCACATGGTTAATATTTCTTTCGAACAAGTACTTTGTTTAGATAGAATACCTAAGCAATTACTTCTATGACACCAAATTTCTATCTCACTTTTCACTTACCCTATGGAAGGTCTGACACACCCATGAACTTAAGCGTCAATCATGACCATTAATTAACGATCCAATTGAATTGGCTAGTAAGACATTGGACAACTACCATCACTGCATCGTGAAGGGATAAACACAAATTGGAGGATTTTTCTGTAGATCTGGTAGCATTCACCTATAGTTGCATGGTTAACATAACACAAGAAAATCTCTTTTTCCCACTAATATTTCCATCCTAACATCTTTTTCGACATTATATTAACCAAAGCTGATCTTGTTGTCATCCTCTAGATTAATATCTAGGTCTATCTGGGTCCATCTCAGCATTGGCCTGCACCAAGAGATGCCCCGTCTTCTATCCTCCTGCCACAGGCAAGTGCTTGTAGGGTAAACAGATGCTTCCTTCGTCCTGTGTCAAAAGTTCTCATCTCATAGATGAGAAAAACTGGAGCCCTGCATACCACTTAGTTATGATCGTTCAGTCCAGATGTACTAGCATAACCGGCCTTTTTGTGTACAGGGCTTTCTTGGAGTCAGCATACACCACAAGAAACTGCACGCCGATACATTGTTGAGGATGACAAGAATATCCTAGTGACAACATGAGACTATGATCCGCATCTTGCTGAGATGGAGGCGCCTTGGGGTTGAGTCTTAACAATGGAGATAACAAATGTTCCATCTGTAACCACACTCGTTGGCTCTTACACTAGAAAGCAATTGGCTCTTAACTATCTAACTCCATCTAAAAGAAGTCTCGACATTTCACAACCCAAGCCAGGGCCAAAAGTTGCAGATCATCAGGACGCACAGCACTAACCTACATTTGACTATCATAGCTGCAGTTAATGATCTCTACTGTGACTGTTCTTCCAACAGAACTTCTTGCTTCATCACCGTCAACATCAAATTATATTTTTTCTACACTGGAAATTAGAAGAGTAAGTTGCAGCTATCACCCTAATCAAGTGGATAAAATTATTTCCCTCTTTCTTCATTTATCTCACTGAATATTCATTTATTCCATTATCGTACTTTATCCCCAATCGCAATCCATTGTTCCCGTTGTTTTGATCATTAATAAGGTATACCAAATCAAACTATGTTAATTCCAGATACCATGTTCAATATTGAGATCAGCTGGCCAAGCAAACCTATTCTCCTATTTGAAATCTTATATCTTCGTATGTTTACATTATTTTTACTAACATGAAAATAGCACTAAAATATAGAACTTTACTAGACAAAATTGCATGGCCTGTGCCATGATGGCATGACTCTACGCAGCAACAAATCAAAACTGTAACGAGACATTTGAATGAGAAGATTCACTTTTCAATCACATTCAAAGAAGTTATTTGTTAAGTATTTCTGTTAGAAAAGAAAGGCTAGTTTCCCAAGGAGAATAAATAAAGAAACCAACGTGCAGAAGAAGTAACTAACATCTACATGCAGGGAAAGCTTGTCAACTTGCTCACTATATTGAGGTAATGCTTGGACCATTTTCTGCAAATCTCTAGTCGAAAGTTCACCGCCACCTCTGTAAGGAGACAGATTAACACAGTTTACACATTAGAAAATGGTGTATAAACCATCAGACGTGTCCAAGAAATGGAATGCAGTAAAAAGTGAGATCAAGGTCAATGATGGATATTAACTAACCACTAAAAGCCCAAATCGTCACATGAGATAAAAGAATCATTCAACATTGTTAAAAATATAAACAGAGTCAAACATTGAACTGTATGGTTTCTTTAATCAACAGCAGAGGCTTTTGTAATTGACAAATTAACACTTTCATCCCAATAAAGAATCTCACGACATTTAACTCATACCCTGATTACCTTCCAACCTTGACAGTAAAAACTTGCAACTCATAGAAGTCATGATAAAATAGCCAAGAATGTACCAATGAAAAATGACCTTTACGAAATGAATTCCATATGTTTTAGCAAAAGAGCTAGCATAACCCACAAAACACATTTATAAACATTTCATGTGAGAATACATTCTATCTCAAGAAGGGTTGAAAGCTAGTATTTCAAATGCAAATCCACTAAAGTGTTCATAAAAATTCGTTAAATAATGATCACTCAAAATGAGGTTAATCTTGGCCTATCTGATTTATTATTTAATTCAAATATTCCTCCTCATTTATTCTATTAAAATAAAAAATCTTCATTGGTTTAAATTTTTCCCATATTTTCTAATTTAATTTTTCGGATATAACCATTTAATAATTTCATAATTAACAAAATACTCTTAATAAATATTACTTACATAATTGTCTTTATGGTTTTAGTATTATAAATTTATAAATATCCTTTCTCATTTAAACCATTAGTGTATAATTATATTAACTAAAAACTTTAATGCATTTGAAAAGCATTGGCTATGTATGACGCCTTGGTCACCTAAAAACCTTGATAAAAACATGTTGTATTTAGTACTATAGCTTGAATGTCTTGACGTATCCTGAGAGAATAAAATTGTGGCACAACACGTCAAAAAGATGAGAATTGTTCATTCCCCATTCAGATTTTGAGCAGTGGACAAAAATCTTCCAAAATCTATCAATATGTAATAAATTTAAATGTTTCTGGAAAACCAGTACTTTTAAGAATTCATTAATGAGTGACACAGGCAAGCTTCTTATAAATCTATTAGGATTGCAATTAAAATCAGAAGAAGACATCGATATGTAGCACATTGATATCCTCCATTTCCAGCAATGACTCCTGAGAAACATGCCTCTAGCACTCTAGTACGTGAATGAGGGATTCATGAACCAAACGGTATCCTTTAACCAAGTCAGGACACCTAGAGCCTCCATAATCAGTTGTTATAGGTTATTTGTAAAACTACAAGAAAAAGAATAGCCAAAAACTCACCTACAATGAGCATCATTGGATAAACGCATTCCGAAATCTAACACGGTATTCTATTCATTTTTGCCCTTATAATGCTGCCTTCACATGAGGTTAAAAAGGCAACTGAGAGACATCAAACTTGTCTTATTTAAACAAAACTAAGAAAACAATATAGTAATTGAAATGAATTCCACCAGTGACCACATCCACCACACAAGGAGTTTATGACTAGGTTCATCCCGCTGGTCATCTCCAGGTCCAGACGGCCAGATGTCCAACCGGAAAACCAATAAGCCAACAAAGAATCCGAAAGCGAGTCCAAATTCTCAGTAATTCTCAGAACTCTACCACTGAACTAGTGTAATAGCACAGTAGCGAATTCTTCTTGATAAGCATTTGTCTGGTTTGTCAGATTTATTGGATATGTTTTACAAGTAACAAAACACATACCTAGAATCCAATATGGAAAGTAATGAAAGGCAAATTTTGGACTGATAATTCGCGGACAATTTGAACTCTTAAGCTTTACAATCATCAAAAGATGAATTTCCTGAGCACAGGCTTTCTAAGCTGATAATTTTGATAAGCTGCATAAATGGTTATCTTGATATTATGCTGCCAAACTAAGATTATATATTCTATAGCTGTTCACTGATTTCATACATCAACTGAGCAAACAATCCTCATTCTTTGTATGTGAACAGTTATTGGTCTGTCTGCTAGCAACACTCAGGTACTCAGCGATTGGTAAAATTGCTTCAATAGTAATTAGTTACAGCATATAAAAACGACAGAGCAGCAGACCGTTTTTTATTCCATTGGTAATCCATAGGAAAATGTACGCATGCAGCTGTACGGATTTTAATCTCCAAAGTGATTTCAATCAAACCGAAATAAAAATGTGCATCCACAAAAGATGCAAGTAAAAACGTACCTAGAACCATGGTGAATTTGTGCTGCTTTGTTCTTTGATAAGAAATTCGTCATTTTCTCATGCAACTTTTCACTTGCCTGAGAATAGTTTATTAAATCAGCTAACACAAAGAAGAGCATCGACCTAAAAGGAAATCTGAAACAGAAAAACACACATCTGCAATATGCACATGACGAAGCTCAAGCCAAATTGGATCATGATCCTCTAGAAGAACCTCCTTCTTTTCAGGTGGACCCTCTGTTTTGCTTGGAACCTAATAAACATAAAGTATTTGTTAACATTGATTAATTCATCTAGACGAAAAATTGGTTCAATTCATGAAGCTAATCTCATGCATATCTTTATTAAGATAACATGAAGTAAAGAAGCTTTTGCCATTGCAAAAAACACCACCCAGTAAATGGTATAAAAGTAGATGTTACCTAAGAATTTATCACAGAAATGACACGGATAACTATATCTCATAATTACCCATTGAAATACATTCAATTAAATCAAAGAACCGTGGAATTGAAAAACACATATTCAAGGTGGCATCTTATAGCGAATTGAAAAAAATTCACGTAAAATACCCAGATCAAAGTCTACTATTGACTATACTACCTCATGAACGTACTTGTTCCCCTCCATATTAAGTAAATCATGACACATGGCATCATAGGTCCACTCATGAATTACGGGAGCAATCTGAAAATAATCACCAAAAAGCACCCAAGATGAAAATCAAATACTCATCAAAAGTAACATTTATTTCAAACTAGCAACAACATGTTTTGCTTGTTAGGTTCAATTTTCAAACCTGATCTATAGATCTGTCTACAATAAGTAATTCGCAAGTCTCTTGCTGGGGAAAAGTGGGAAGTGTGGCTTTATACTTCATCAGAAAATTCCAAACTAAAGCAGCAAGCTTTGTTGGTACAACCTCACGAAATGTTGTCACGGTCATTGCATCTTTCGATGATTTAGGAGCATGGTACCGCACATTAGGAAACTCCTGTGAACATAGCATACAGTTGAAGGAGACCATAATCAACCATAAGCCCATTGATAAAAAAAATTACAACTATACATAACATAGGCGGAGCTTTCATAAAACATGGCATCAATTCAGAATTGAAGGCAATACAAACACTTTTGGAAGAAGAAAAAGAATGTTAAGAAAATCAACGCCTAAATAAGAAAAATATAAATTCTATTTAGTTCATCCAAGCAGATCCATGGTCAACTTTGGCCAGTAGATAAGCATGAGAAATCTGACAATAACTCTGATCACGCATCCAACAGATGAATTTCCATAGTGAAACTTACAAAGGCTTTAAAACTATCCAATATAAACCGGATAGCATCACATACCACAAAATAATTTCCCTTTGACGCACAATGCCAGATTACCCTCATAAGCAGATCTCTTCTACATTGACAAGCATACGTTCATTGAACAAATGTACCCCTTACGAGACACCTCAAGTAAAGCACCCTTCTACATGGATCGTCTCAGCATATTTGATTTTATCTTCACATAACACTAATGTAGGAGTCCGCTTGACCAAACAAGTTCTATACTCCTAAAGAATAGCTCAACAGTAGACTCTCTGCAGTTTGGCATTCCCAAGAGATAGACCTATTTGAAACATTAATACTGCATATATTTAACTCATGAGAACATACACAGGCATAGCCTCTTACCTTCAATGACGCAAAAACTGTTGCGATGCGAACTGCCATTGTATTTAAGCAAGAATCAAATTTACGAGAATTCTCCACATTTTCTCCAAAAAGCTCCTCTAGAGCCCTTTCATGGTCAGTGATGAAGCCCTGAGGTTTAAATGAAAAGAAGGTTTGAATTTTTAAGGGATTGTTGACTAGTGAAAAAAAATGGATCAATGCATGTATCCCAAGGATTACACAGTGTAAAGAGCAAAAAGAAAGGTAATGATCAATGATGAGCATCTACCTGACTATCAATAGCAAAATACTCCAAGTTCATCTGCATATGTTAATCAAAAGAATAAGAGCGTCACTATCACAAATGCAAAATTTTGATAAAGGCATGATTTATTCAGATACAAGCCACTATCCGAACAGCAGGAGTTGAAATCTGTAACCAAAAAAGAAAAGTGCAGTAGATAATGAAAGTTCTTGACCTCACTCAATGCGCCTATACGAGGTAAAACGCTTGTGTCACTCTTGATCTGGGCTACTAAATCCTTAGAAATAGGTGAGCTGAAGAAAATAAATGCCCTGTAAAAACGCAAATCAGTAAACTTCACTAGAGACTGATTTCTGTGATGCATAGTTTTTTCAAATATCGTACGTCACATACTTTTTGTACAATGGGCATCGCCCTGACATGTCAGAGAGGAACATGACTACGCTGCAAGTTACACATCAATGGGTGAGAAAACTTTGCACGAAATTACAAATCCAAATCAACTTTCATGTACAGAAGCTAAACAGGAAAGAAAAAAGAAACTTTGAACTATGTTAACGATCAAATATTATACTAATTCATAATAGCACCATATATTGGTCTACGGATTGATACATTAATAAGCGCCAAAGAACATGGAAAATGACCTATTGCATAAGCTATTGGCCATGCCTACAATTATGAATATTTTCTTTGAAAATATTATTCCACTCAACCCTCTTTGAGATTCAATGATACATGGGCATTATTAGCTATTTCATCAAACGATTGATGTCCACAGATTTTGCACACTACTAAGTTAAACTTGCTATGACACATTCAATAAGCTTACGTCCACTATTTTTTAGAAATTTAACAAAAGCATCGTTTAGTCAATATATTTATTTATACACACCTTATAACAGATTTGCTACCCTGTTTACAAGTTTGATATTTTTGATACAAAGCATGTTCATGCTCGAGGGAAGAAATCAAGCATGCAATGGGTTTTTCATTTCTATCAAAATTTGCATCGATTCATTTCCCTCCCTCAAACATACAGTCTGAACATACTCCCACCGAGCAGATGAGCCACCCTCCTGTTGATAGACACAACTTCACTACTTTTCCTCCTCAATCTAAATGTTGTTAAAAAATCACCAAACTTCAGTCCATCAATTCAAAAAAAATTCAATGCAATAATAATCCTAAAAAAACTTGGTAAATCAATCTACATAATGAAGTCTTTTGAATCTTGTTCATCAAATCAGCCTACGTTACCCCTTAATGCAAATAGTGACTGATTGTTTTTCGACATCCAAATTTTTGTAACATGACAATTCCTGTGGTGGATTCGGGATGCACCATGTTAAAATTACTGCTACTAGTCGCCATATTATAATTACACTTGAGTTACAGCAGATTATATCTCGCCAATAATTGTGGCAAGGCATGATGCATTTCTTGGAATATTTGACATGATGCTTTAAGACTTAAGAAATAGTCATCTCTTCATAAACGACATTGTCAACTAGGTTGTCTCCACATGCATAAAGCATTTTAATTAAGGTAAATGTGGGATTCAAAACTTCGCTCTAACACCACAGTGTGATGAAAGCCAAAACCCGATACATATCCTTGAAAGGAATAAGTGAGAAGAACCTTGAATCCATGACCAGAGCGGAGATAAAAGATAACTTGAGCCAAAACCTACCCCTCTAGAAACTATAAGCAACTTTTGCTAAAACAAATGATCTCCAAATAAATAGAATACGTTCAATGAGATACCAAAAATAAAACATCTCCCAAAGAAATGCACACGCACATGTCAAGCCTTCATGTTTCACCATTTTTTAACATTTTGATCTTCACCTTCGGTTTCTTCCTCATATCCAGCAATTTTGTGCTATCTCATAGATTGACTCTTGTGTTAAAAATATTTTAAGGCAGTAAGATCTTAGTGCACTGAGGTTGAACTCTCAATCAATACGAACGTATGAAATATATTCACCTAAAAATTCTGGAGAAAAATCGCACAGTTATCAATGCATTGCTGACCTGCATAAGTTCTCTCCACTCAAAGAGATTATTTGTAGTAATGTGATGTAAGTCTCAAAATCTTCCTCTTTAGTGGTACTTCTCCCTAATTACCTACATCTAAAATCCCTCTTCTATTAGTATCATTTCCCATGATCACTACAAAGTAAAATGTCGAATTGAACCATAACCCATATTTCTTTTTACATTCGTAAATTATCTGCTGAAGTTGACGACCCCTACCTTTGCATCCCTCAACATTTCTACAACAATGAATGCATATTGATATGATCTCCAGCATTAAAAATGGTGCAAGTTGATGAGCTAGATAGCAAACTCCAATGCTCCACTGTGATAAAGAAGTTTGCATTTCAATTTGGGCAACCTGCCGCTTCATTCAATCCTTGTCATTAATGGTATCCATAATGACAGCCATCCACAAAAAGGAGAAAGAACCCGCCATCACCACTCTGTATCACTGTTCGAATTCACTGTAAAAATCTCAGGATATCATTATTAACAATAATGACTCAATCTGAATCCACATACTAGAGGTAATGCAAATTCATATGAGATAGCAAACCTTTTTAAACCAAAACTTCACAATCAGTTCCTTCAAGTAGCGACTCTTTTCGTTTGTGAATGCATTCATATGATAAATTTATCTCCCCTTCATGACGACATTCCGGACTTATTTTGTTAACCACACTTCAAAGACTTGCAACCAATAATTTTGCAAAAATATTGTATATAAAAGGCTGACAAGAATAACGTCAGCCTATCTACTCTAGTGTTTTTGGAGATAAGATGAAAAGTGTCTTCCTTAAGCCCTTCAAGTAAGCCGTAACAAAATGGAACTCCAATATTGCCTTCTTCAACCTACGTTTAACAATTTTTCAAAGTTCCAAAAAAGATACAAAGCACAATCCTTCCTATATTAGAACCTTCTCTACCAGCAAAGCAAAAGAAGCTGCCATTACTTCATTCAATAGAAATGGTCTTGAGAGTTGACTACCATCATCTCAAAGTAGTCTAGAGGGAATGTCCCCTACTAACTAACGTCTCCAATTATTCTTCTCTGTAAATAGAACGGTCCAAAATCACCTAATGTGATTCTTGACGTCCCCTGAGTGGTCTCTTATTTCCCATTCACGAAATCCTTCTAATTTATTAAGCCCTACGATACTGTTAAGGATTTGAAAGTTGTTAAGCATAAACAGTTTTCATCTTGTATTTTATTTGAAAGCAAAGAGCTTATAGAAAAATAGATACGAAGCTACCGTCTTTTAAGCAGAAAGCTGCAAAAAACTAAGAAGTTTTAAAAAAGAAGACACAAATGGTAATAGTACAATTTTTTGAGAAACCCCTAATTTAATCAAACATTATTAGTAGTTTCCTCTTCCTTAAGAGATCACTTATTTTAGCCATTACTGCACTTATTTTCCTTTTCTAGTAAATCCAAAAATAGCTCATATTATTTAAACAAGAGAGAACACTAAAAGGGCATGTTTTCACCCAAAATCATTCTTACTCTTGCCACTCAGTGGATTTAAGTGAGTTTCTATGTTTACTATTCAGCTAATTCTATATTACATGGTATGAAAATTAAGTTTCCAATCATAAATTTCATCTTTTTGGAGACAAGCTTAATGATAATGTTTGTGAGTCAATGGCTCTCTAAAAAGCTAAATTTCTTGGGTTTCAAAGCAACATCAATCAAACTAGGAAATGCATTGTACTTTACAACAACAGCCAAAATAACGATGATGGAACTTGTTATCATGGTGTCTAACAACAGGGATTTGGATGCCAGTTTATAACCGTAATCTAGATTCACCGTAAGAGCAGCCATCCTTTAAAGAATATCTCAATTGCAGAAACATTTATTTGATACTTGCAGTTGAGAAAGCAAAAGCAGCCTTTTATGAAGACAATCTTAAAGCCTCATTTATGAAAATTGATCCACCAAGCTTTCAGGGACATTCGAATAGTAGAATTTCTATATTGGTTAACAAAGCTGAATAATGGTTCTACTATACAAAGATTAAAGAAAAGAAACAATTTAATTTACGACATGCATTAGCAATTTTGGCCAATAATGAGTGAAAGCCATTTAAATTTGTGGCATGCATTAGTAAAAGATAAAAGGCGATGCATTAGCATGGGGAGAGTTGATACATGCCATTCATGCAAAAGGAGGAAAAGAACCAATGCATAGCTAAATGAAAATGCAGAAAATTCCATAATTAGGAATATGTAGTAGAAGAATTATGTCAAACTTGCAAATAGAGTAGCAAATCAGTTATTGAGGAGTTATAAAGTGCAATTTTGCAGTAGTCAAACAAAACGTGAAACTCAAATGTTTTTCTATTTCTAAATGTAGACTGAGGGGGGGGTATGAAGAAGAACATGGCCCTACTACGCTTTTTCATACTCAGCAACATTGATAGGGTACTACATTATCATTGCAGTAAAAAAGGTAAAGTCCTAGTCTTGCAGTTCTACAAATAAAATACATTGCATAAAAAGACACCCAAGCTAAGCATTGTGAAGTTTACTTAAGTCACGCGGCATGGTCTTATGACTGCCCCACTAAGATCCAACACAGCAACGCACACTGAGGCGCAAAACACAACACCCACACATTTTGGGCACTGTGAGAAGTCTTTCAAATTATCTTTAACCTATTTCAAACTATTTTTAGGGCCAGTGAATGAAAAGATTATCTTGGAATCGTTTCGAATAAAAAATAGTGACTGAATCAAGTTTCTAGAAAATTTTGACAAAGTTTATGAAATTTGTACTGCAGCCAGGAGAACTGAATTTGGTAGCCCATCATTCATTTTTTCTTTTCATCACGTTCATAATCTCTCGAACATATTGATCTCATATGTAAAATTTCCAAATTAAATGGTTGGCAATGTAAAATTTCGTAACACAAAAGATTTCAGACAAAAAAAACTTTTATGAATATGCCAAATAATATTTTGCATCAGTAGGTAATTTAGCACTCCAACAAAGTTTATAAGTGATTGATAAAAACTTCGAGGACTGATCAAGTCAACTATCATAACATAAAAAAAGAGCGGAATGATTAGCTGAGACAGCAAATAATAAGAACAAAAAATAAGATCACGCATAAAGCTCCCACACTCTTGTAAGAACTTGCTAGTTAAGACTGAAAACAAATTAAGAAATTCAAATTCACATTTTTATTACTTCTCTTTCGAAGGCTGGATAAAGTATATTGCATCCATTGAAGGTAAGGGCTGCCTTCTTTTTGAAAGGTCTTCAACTACTACAAAACAAAACATAAATGTGTTATTCATGTACTCCAATACAATTAGAGCCCAGGACATGATAGAACAAGACACAAATATCACATGTAAAACATGTTAGGGATGATGTTGTGAGAGTCTTCAACATTATTTTTACTTAAAAGTATAACATTATGTCACCACGAAACTAGGATCTGGTATGTAGCAAGGGTGAAAAACCAAGCAAAGTGAAAAAAGGAGGGACTTATCAAGAGATTGAAAAAATAACTATTCTTCTGGTTGCTCCAGCAAAGAGAATGCACATGTAAAAGTTATCATGACATGCACATACTCACGTGAAACTCCTTCCTCTGTAATATCTGCCATCTTGCAAGAGTAGGACATTATTTTTGTTGTAAGCTTGTCCATAATGAGTACCTGGAACCAATTAACTTAAATCAACTTAAAAATTACCACAGTAATCACCTTCTTTTCGCTGAGTTACCCAGTGTTCATTCATTTAAAGAATATTAACGTAGATGTGTTATCGAAAACACAATTATAGTAATGAACCATAAACTAAAAAAACAAAAAACAAGAAAGAAAGGTAGCCTTTGAACATATCCAAGCAAATGACAGATAAATTTAGTGATCCAATGCATAATAAACACCAACGATCAGGCATCAAGAAATAACATACTGCATTGACCAGACTAAAATCCCGATAGTGTGAGAAATTAAACTTCAAAAGCAACCAAAAGAAGAAAAATGAAAAGGATTACAGGCCAAACGGGAAAAGAAATTATAAAACTAGATTAGAAATAAAGGAAGATATGTAACTTAGTCTATCATGGTTGTAAATTTCTCAGATCCTTCCCAAGGGTTGACATGAATAGTCCCATATTGCTGACAGCTGGCTTCTTTGAAAAAATCCAAGGCCTCAAACCAGGTAAGAAAACAAATCACATGGAAAAGTGATAAGCCTCTACACACTTATTTTAGGAGGAAGACCCCAGTCCAACTGGAGAAGAACTGAATGCGAGATTATAGGGAGCTGCTAACTGACTAGAGGAATCATAGGAACTTTCTAAAGAATGCGCAGGGACTATCTCTGAATAAAGAAGGATATAAATAAAGGAAAGGAGGAGAAAGGGGGCACCTTTAGGGGCACCTTTAGAGAAATTGATTCAAGTTCATACGCAGTCAAGCAGCTACTATTATCCTAGATCTGAGGCGATTGTATCCGGTTCCCTTTTATCTCTTCCGTCTCTTCCTCTATCTTTTCTACTTCGGACATTGTTCTTTTTGTTTTTTTTATATATTCAATAAGCCCCAATTTCCATTTGGAAGTTGGAGCCTTATCATCTGGTATCAGAGCTACTCCTAGCCATTCCTGCATGGTTAAAGGGCTTACAATTGCGAGGATAGAATCCACTGAGGTGGATATTGAGACACTCAAAGAGGAGAGCAAAGGCACGAAATAAATCATACAACAACTAATTCAACAACTGGCAACATTGATGACACGCTTACCCCAAGAAAATCAAGGAGATCAGACACGAATTAACATCTCAACCTCTTCAAAGTCAAGAGCAAAAGGTGGAGTATTACAAGCCAAATTGGTCTTTCCCACACCACTACAACTAAATTGGTGTTGAGTATATATTACCACATAAATTATGTTTACAATAAACGTTATAAGTTATTTAACAACTGCACTAGTAAACAGAAATTAAATTGAATGGCACTTGTTACCCCCAAAAGTGTGCTGGAAGGAAAGCATCCAAATAACTAGTTCACTCTCATGGCAAGACAATCATTGTGAAGACTCCAGTAACCTTGAATAATTCAAAAAGCATCCCGACCATTGAAAGAGGAAAAAAATTAGAAGCCAGAAAATGACAAGAATGAAACCCAAACCAAATTCATCACAAGAACGAGACAAATTCAACAAATAAGACAGTTATAATGAACATTTATTTAATCAAACACAATCCTATCTGCTCATATGAAGGTACCTTCCAAGCTCCTTTGGAGTCCTTTACTCTTGCAGATCGAAGCATTTCATGTAACAATCCTAGTAAACCAATGTCATAAGAATATCAGTAGCCAAAAGCAAATATACTACATTATATAAATAATATCCATGACTCGTAAAATAAGAAGGAATTGCACAAAACATAAATACCACATTAGAAAGATGGAAACATGGATATTGACAAAGAATGAAAGAAAAGGTTTTGTAACGACCACATTTAAAAATATGTCTAGACGATGAAAAAAAAACAAGAGAAGTGCAGAGATTAGCTGACATGTTGGCACAATCTTGAGATCAGATAAACATCTTATCAAGGATGACCAAAGATAATAAAGGAAAGGATACTCCCACAACTTCATGTATCCATCTCTGGAATTATCCTGCTTTTGAGTTGTGGTGCAGTGGATTTTATGTTATATGAGAGTAATCACGTTACTTTGTTTTTTCACATGAAGTAAATGGAATAGCCTACAAACAGTTTTCGCAAACATAAGAAAGGGTTAGGCTTCCCTTTAAACACCTTTGGGATAGAAGAACATCCCATGCCAACTAAACTATGTAGATGTAAAGTGTCGCCTAAACTACCTGATTTTATGTACATATCATTTACCAATTCACATGAAGTGTGGAAAGAATTAGATAATTTCTAGATATTTTTTCTACAATCATTCTTAAAATGGAAAATTAAATAATTATATAATAAGGCCAGTTAAACCACAAGCAGAACAAGTAGATATTGTCTTATTTTATAGAATGATTGGTTGACCAACGCTATGCAGACTCATATCACTGTAACAAGGTACACTTAAAAGGTTTTTAGGAACTTTCTGAGTGCCTTGTCATGTATGTATATGTGTTTCCGCATTCTTTTTGTTTGCCAGTCTGCCAGTGTAATGTGATACACCTGTTTTCAGGGGGTAGGGAGAAAAAATTCTGGCCATCAAGAAAGTTGAAATGAGCAAGCAAACAAATTTTCTTCGCCCACAGTTTTTTAAGCATCCAGAAGGATTTTCCTTTCATATCATTGATAAGGAATTTATCAGGGGAATAGGAAGGATGGATTTCTTCCAAAAAACTGAGATATCATACTTGAATAACTACTCCTTATAAGCGTCATCTCGAGTCTAGTATTGTCTTGCACTCATGTATCATACTTTGTACTAGGAGTGTTTTCCACAACTATGGTGATAGAATTCAAGATCTCACTCTGCACAGCCACCACGACGTTACCAGGACGCACATCCTCGAATGCAAGCAGAAAATTTGCATCTAGACGCACAATACCTCCTCAAAAAAGATTCTAAAAACATTCAAGGCTATAAATGTTTTTCTCAGTTTATCTGCACACTTCGTCCGATTCCATCACCCGACTAAACCAAGCCAGTGACAAACCCCATCACAGAGGATGCTAAATCAATCCCAAAAGAAAAAAAAACTTCCGGATAAAGATCTCTCCGCTCTTACCTCCACAACACTAAAGGGAGACGAAACTTGGGATTAACCCAGCGGAACGCAAGAAAGGTGGAGAATAGAGCTCGTACATTGAAACTCATATTTCACTCTCCCTCGTTCACATGTCAAAAAAGTTATTCTATTAAAGGTCAAACGGAAAAACAGCACCAATTAGATCTTGTATTTCCACACATTTCAGGAGAGAAATCGGCCGCCCAAACCATAATTGGATGATTCATAGAGTGGGGATAAAGAACGGGCATAGAGAACTCACTTTCGCGGCTGATCTGGCGGAAGGTCTTGTATTCGTTTCCGCCAGAGGAAGATGAATCAGAATCTGACATTGACATGGCGATCCTCCGGTACCCTTCTCTTACTCTCCCTCTCCCCCTCTCCCCCTCTCCCCCTCTCTCTCCCAACCTCTCCCCCTCGCTTCTCTTCTCTGGGCTCTCTCTCTCTCTCTCCCCCTCTCCCCCTCTCGCTCCCTTTCGGTCAGACGAAGCAACCAGGAGAGAGAAGCAGAGAAGAAGAGGCCAGCCACGGTTGACGGATTTGACCAAAAATAAAGAGGAAGCATCCTATGAAAAAAACAAGTGACTTCGTGACATCTCCCTTCCCAATTTTTTAAATTATTTTCACAATAAACCCTCATATTTACTATAATTACAAAAATACATTTATAAAACGTATATTAACTAAATGCCATTAAAATTAGTCACTACATAAAAAGGTGAGGTGAAAACACTTTTTCTGACTAGGAAATCGTATGGTTTGTAGGGGCCAGGTGTTAATTTTCAAAAAAAAAATAATACAACTTAATTTCATAAAAAATAAGATGAGGGGGCAAAGATTAAAGTTTTACTTTTTTTTTTTTAGTTGCTAGGATCTAGAGGGCTCAATTAATATTTCTCATGCACTATTTATAGTGCTCAAATCTTCCTTACTCTACTCTTCAAAAATTTGCCCTTATATTTCATAAAACCCTTAGTAAATACTAAATTACATGATTCAACCACCTTCACGAGACTTAACAACTCAATTTAACTCAAACTCTTCACTTGAAATCATCTTCCAAATTCATGACTCTTGAAGGTCAAATAGAGGATGACCTCTCATTCCTCCTACATTCATCATTCTTGGGGACCAATGAATTAGTGCTTGTTAGCCGCTTATAAATTGATGATTTAGATCATGCTTGAGTACAAAGAAAGTTAATATTGTAGAATGGGTTGTCATGCTTGTTGTTCACACTCTAAGCTTCTTGAGGGGTGATTTCTTCTTATTTCTCATTTGAAAGTGCCTTGTGGAGGATTTGCATTTCGCCTACAATTACTTCATAGCTTTTGATTCTTTGATTATCTTTCTTTCTCATTGAGGAGATTGTTATTTTCATCTTAACTAGTATTATTATAATTTTTGAGGTTTTTTGAGAAATATTAAATATTCTAAAGCCAACAATATTGTCTTTTCATAGAGATGGTGTGCCCCAACAATAACCTTCATTTTTATTTTTTGAGCCACACCTAATGGTCATTCCTTCTCTCTCCACATGTTTTTACAAGCTACTTGACACCTAGATTAGGGCATAAATAAAATGTGTAGACAACATTGTACCAAAATACTTCAATTCCATAAATTATTTGGAAGGATATACAATCATCTTGGGTATAATAATTTGTGTATAATATTTTCAAGGGTCACAAGAATATTTAATTTGTGTATAATAAAACAGTTATTTTATCATTTGTCTTGACTGACATAAATTCAATGTCTTCCTCAATTATTAAGAGCATCAAAATACTTTATTCTACACTCAGAATCCATAACAAACTATTCTTCTATATGTTATGACCATCATTAAAACATGATGGGCTCTTAAAGCCAACAATAGGTATATCCATGTATATGAAGAGGGAGGGAGATAGAGAGAGAGGTAAAGGAGTTGGAGAGCGATGAGATGAAGAAATAAGAGGGGTACATGTTTGGTGTACCATGTGCCATGCAATGAATTGAAATGCTTGGTGTACTAGTAGTATTGTGAAAATTTGTTGGAGTCATCAAAGCTTGCCAATATAGGATGACAAAAGTACAATGGAAATATGTTCTTGCGTTCAGAAGTTGTGGAGTGAAATTTTTTGTTCAATTTTCCCATAACTTTGTTTTTTCTCTCTCCATCTCCTATTCTTCCCTTCAATATGAGTTTTTCTTATCTCATATGGTTCATTTATATGGACATAAGTTAGAAAAACCTGTGCCTTTTATGATCGAATCACTTTTACAACGATTGGGGTAATGCTTGCATAGGCACGGTCTTCTTGCTCAATACAAATCAATTCGATGAGCCGTAGGTGCTATACAGAATACTCAGCATCAGACAACATGCAATGTTAGAATAACATGAAAATAAAATGCTAGAGGATTCTTGAGTAGAATTCTTAAGGATAAGATGGTTACCAAAATGCTAACATCAGCTAACCCATTTCATCACAAGAATTTGTGATATGATCATATGATTTAGCATGTTTCATCTAGAGATTGTTCATAATTGGCAATGACATTGCGACAGTTTTTACTCAGCGGCCACTCGCGTGCAATTTTTACTTGTTCCATCCACACGCAAAGGAAGACGAGGCGGCATATGCTTCATATTGAGATTTCACAGAGCGAAGTGCACATCAGACCACACGCGTCATTGTGCATGAAGCATCCCTACGGTCCTGCTGAGTGTTTTTACTCTCGTATGGTTGTTTCTATCCTCCTCAGTTCATATATATATATATATATATATATATATCAGTCAATCCGATAAATTCAAACTGTACAGTGATCTGGAGGTGTTAAATTCAATGCTGACCCTGTCAAATATCCTCTGGGGCCCTCTTCCAGCATTCAAGCAATCCCACTCTCCCCACACAGAGTGGGCCGACTGTGATCATACGCAGCAACCTGCATCACTGCAAAGAGGCTCACATAGACCTGGAGAATCAACACATTGGGATCCAGAAATATGAATAGCAAACAACAAAGCAGAGCGCCAGGTTCTCCGGTTAGCCGAGTCCAGTCACGAGCAAGTCAACCTTGGAGCACGTCTTGACCTAATTATTTCCGGGCAAGATGAACTCTGGCCACCAACCACGAGCCAAATACAGATACCACCACCACCTACGCAGACTCTTGAGACAGACGGACTTGACAGACTGGACACAAAGACCAGGGGAAGGGAAAGCAGACTGGAACGAAGGCGGCTGAAGTGGCTTTCAAAGAACCCAAGGTCAGCAGATCACAAGAAGGCATCCTTCTCGAGCAGCTTCAGAACCTCGTCCTGGTTGTTCAGCTTGGCAACGTCAATGGGGGTCTTCCCGTCCAAGTTTTGAAGAGTACTGCGAGCCAGATGAGAGTCGGTCAGAAGGGAGAGAGGAAGGGGGTTGCCTTCTAACCATGATATACTACAATGGAGAGCAATCTGTTTTCCAGAGTGCCTTAAACTTACACAGCAGCCCCGTTCTCGACAAGGAGCACAACGCACTCTTTACGGCCATACCCAGCGGCATAGTGAAGGGCGGTGTTCTTGTTCTTGTCCAGAGCATTAACCATCGCCCCTGCCTCAAGAAGAATCTTTGCACATTTCACCTGAAACACAAACACCAGGCCTCAGGCTCAAGATCTTCCGAAGCTAAGCTCAACTCAAAAGCCAAAGATTTTATATGTGCCCCCAACCAGGACTTCTATCTCTCTTGGAGAAAAACTACGAAGCAGCACTAACAATGGGAGGGACAAACATTCTCCAAGCATCAAAGTTCAAACATGAATGTCAATTCTTGTGAAGACTATTATGGCGTCATTAGATTGTTGCACCACCAGCAACACATCCATATTCTTCGACCATCTCCATGGAGTGATCAACCAACGCCCTTCCATATCTCACAGCCTAGGCTCATTTTTCCCGTCTATTTCCTATTTTATTCTTTCCCAAGAAGAATAAAATAATTTCTTTTACAATAGCAGTGTACTAGAAGAGTTTATTCAGATGAAGTGAAAAAATGAAACAACAGATGTGCCTGAATTTTGATAATTTTGAGAAATATGACTGCTCAAAAGGTAAAATGAATTACTCTATGCATTCATGTCCCCCCCCCCAAAAAATACTGTCAACTTAGAGTACAACTAGAAGCTGAAGTTGACTTTTTGCTAACAGGGGGACATTACACAATAAAATGGAACAAAATAAAGAAGCATAACATATCATCTTACCTCTCCATAACCACATGCAAAATGCAAAGCTGTTCTACCTTCTGCATCTTCTTCATTTTTATCTGCTCCAGCAGCAAGTGCATTCTTCAAAACCTAATTTCAACAATGAAGACGTTTTTCTCTCTTCATTTCGATATAATTTCCATGCATATCGATAAAGAGTAAAACATAGAAGAAGAGAACGCCAGAGAAGCAAAAGTAAACTGATGAAAAAGAGAGCCACGAAAAAATAGGAAAGCCCAGGAAGTGATAGTAAAACAAAAGCCCAAAAACGTGGCACAAGGAAGGGTCTAACTATAGCAGTATGTTCTCACCAGGAAACTATTGTTTATATTGTTTTCTTATCTAGCAGATATTGTTTTTTAGCAATTTTCGTTGGTAGTTACTATTCTTTGGAAGATAAGAAACTGTTTGCCTCATTTCATGAAGAGGAAACAGTAGAAGGGGCTTGCCCCAATTTGTTTTCTTTCTGTCATTCTCTCTTGGTAGAATCAAGGTTCCTTGGAATCCTTTGGCTTCCAGTGCATTATAAACTTCAAGCCAAAATATTAAACCAACGCTGGTCACACTACATGTTGAAAACTTGAAAAAAAATGGTCCATTCCACGGAAAGCTTTTAAAAAAAACCAATCGGTTGACAATTTGGTCTATAATTCAGTAAAAAATAAAAAATCGTATGAAAATAGCCTTCACCAATATAAAATGGCTGAAATATCATCAAATATAAAAATTATCATAAAAATAGTAGTCATTATGGAAATATTTTAATAACCAAAAATGACCCCATTGAAATTCACTGCGGTGGAACAAATTGTACAGACCTAGGTACATATCTACATTTTGGAATATCCAGACAACAGCCAGTAATCTACATGTCCTTTCGACAATCTTGATCCTCCCCCCCCTCCAAGCCTTAACCTCATTACTGTTTTCCTCCAAGCATTTTCATCGCTCTGCCCCTTGTTTCTTCCGGTGATTAATTCCAGAAAATAAAGAAAGAAAATCAAAGGGAAACTAAATAGGAGCACATTGCACAGCAATACCAATAATTTGGAGCTTTAACTTGCACAGCAAGGAACAATAACGTTATGAATAATTTGGAGCTTTGGCCATCACAATCATACCCTCTCAACCTCGCAGCTGCCAAATTATGTTCCTTTCACTTCAATTAATCACGTCATTTCCCTTTCCCTTTCCACTAAAAAAAAAATCTTTGGAAAGCCTATGTTTCCTCTTTTTCAAAGGGAAAAAGAAACATGGCAAATGCAACCAACGGCTGCGGCTCCTTATAACCCCCTGTCATTATTGTCAAAACGCAATGCCCTTGATTCGAATCGTAATAATTAATCAACCCATTCTATTTATTAAGCTGAGCCAAGTAAGCAGTGCTGAGTCAGCCCTTCTTATTTGTCTAGACACGACAGAATATAATCTAAACTGGCCCACTAATAAGCATTAGAATGAAGAATCAAAATAGCCAGGCAGCATCACTTTCATCATTCCATTTGAATACTAATTTGAAAATCAGCATACCTCGAGAAAAACCCTGATCTGATTTGAATAAAAATGGTAGCCTATCTATAATTTCAGAAATACGATAAACGTCAACGTTCGAAAATGTCCTTGTCAATAATTATTTCAACCAATTAGACCCCCTCCCAAAGCTCCAACACCCACCATTGTACCGAAAGAGAGATACATCCAAGCCGATCTGAATCGGATCATAACTGATTTAGCCACCAAATATGGATCAAAAGAATAACAACGCCAAAGGATATTTCAACAGTTTGATTTAGTTTATAAATTCATATTAAAAAAAATGTACACAAGTGAGAAAGGTCTATCCGGGGTACTAGAAGAATATGGACTTTTAAGGCCTGCAGTCTCAGTAGCCATACGGATGCTATCAGCATTAATAGCAGTTACCAATGATGATTGGCGACAGCAGTAAGTGAGATTGTCTTTCCCAAATTTATTCCTCTTATTTCTCTAACTTTTCCTCTTATTCTTCCTCCAGCGTTATGTTTCAAAATTCTTCCTCTGTTTAGCAGTAGTACAACAGAAAACTGTTAAATACAAACCAAATCAGGAAAGATTTAGTAGAAAATTTACTGATTTTTAAAAAATCAACCAATTAAACTTCGATTCAGCTCATAAATTGATGATTCCTCTGTTAAGCCTGATTTGGCCTTTTCAAGGGAAAAATCCCCTAATCAAAAATCAGGTTGGCTGATTTCAAAAAAATGATGCCTATCCTCAAAGCAAACAGGCGGCTGTGATATGTGTGGAAAACACTGGGGTTGGTTACAAGTGACCCGCAGTGGCAACATTAATGCCAACAAGTGCCTCAGAGTTCAGAAGCAGAAACTGAAAGAGGCCACACATGTGAACTGATTTTTGACTGACTAGTTTTGACATTTTTCTTGAGTTATAAGGGAGGATTATATCCGTACATAAAATCAGATTGGCAATAACAGATGCTATTTGAAATCGAAATAGGACAAGAATTGATGGATAGCACTTAACATTTGATAACTGATAGTCCAGAAAATGCACCAAACGTGATTATCATATTTTCCTCAAAAAATAATGTTTTCATTTAAATGTGTTTTTTTCATATAAACTCAAATAAAGTAAAAATACAAAGGGAAGAGCACATCTCCAAATATGTTCGTAGACCAACAATACCTCTGCATCACCAGTACTTGCAGCGTGATGAAGGATAGACTCATCTTCATATCCGGCTTCATCTTCCTCTGCTTCCTCTGGCCCTGACGCATCAGCTGATGTTGTAATGTCTCCTGATGCCCCAACTCCCATAGCTTGCCCCAGCTTTTGCAGGACTTCTGGATCATTCCAATACCTAACAAACAGAGGGAGAAACATTATCTAACAAGAAATAGAATGTACCCAATAAAATATGCTAATGCTTTTACATGCCATACTTCATCATTGCAGATGGACCTCCGGTTTCAATCTCATCAAGAATTGGCTTCAGTGATGGATCCTCCTTGATACGGGCCATCCGTTCTTTAAGTTGGTCTGCACTGGATGGATTCGTGAGGTTCTCCAGCATTCTAGACATGGAAGGATCCTTCGGTTTGGGGGGGGAGGTGGAGGAAGCGTATGGTTCAGAACTTATCCATGAAATGCAAACCATCTGACAGAGAAGAATGGAATGTTAAGCAAAAGAATAGTCGTCCAGATACCTGCATGAGAGCATTCCCAAGGCGCTCAGCCATTGTCATAAACTGGGGATTTTGCATGACTTGTTGCATGGTCGACATATATTGCTGAGGATCCACTTGAGGTATTCCACTTTCACCTGCACCTTGGACACTTTTCTGGAGTTGCTCAGCCATCTGGGTGAACGAAGGATCATGTGCAATTTGTTCTGCCATTTGCTTAATGACTGGATCCTGAAATAATGAAAACCTCAAAGTTGAGTATCACCACAATCACAATCATTGACATCATCACTTTTTATGTCATTAAAATCATCGTAAAGCAAAATGAAGAGATGAGAATGGCAGAAAGATAATCAAATGCAATTGAAAGAATTTTCATAGCAACTTTCAATGATTTGTGATAGTAAAAGACTAATAAATAACTCTAGGATGACCCAAGAAACTTACATGTTCCTATCTTCTTGGTACCACAGATAAACATAGCACTTTCCCCCTGATCTTAATCTCAAAATTTAGGCGTGAGAATTGGGAACCTTCTTCTTTGCACTAATGGTTTGGTTTAGCTGTTAACGCATGCTATGCTAATTTTTGTAATAGTACCAACAAAAATATAAACCTTTGAATTTTGAGAGTGTCTATTCCGATCTCTTCATTTCCTAATACTAAGGGAAAAGGAAAATTCTATGTGGATATAATAACAAAATGGCCGAACTTTGTTACCAACACAGATGGAACCAAAAATCCATTCAGAGTTAGCACATGAATGCTCTTTAGGAAAAACTGCAGAGGCATGGATGCTAACAGCAGTCGGCCAGGAAGAAAACAAAGAATTATAGTCCATTCGATTTATACTACGTACACCGTTATTTCCAGCTGGTGATGACATATTCGTAAATTTTACACTCTATTATGTCAAGACAAGAGTCGAAGTAATCAACTATTGCTGAAAATTACACTACTTGGAGATGTCCCACTGTAGCATACTAGGATACCAATGGCTAGCATCAATGTCACCAAATCACAACCTCTGTGGTTAATGAGATGAGATGTCAATCAGGAAACTACAAGAGCAAACTCGCCATGGACATTAGGACCAAGTTTGGTCACCATCACAATCTATGGCAGACATTGAATGTTGCACTTCATAGCACATTATAAGTGCCCATCAACACAAGTCAATATCAGGCTAAACAGATAAGGTTCTTGATCAAAAATTAAAAGAGGGGATGACAGATTGACTTTACAGAAGGTGGAGAGAGTGGATTGTTTACAAAGGTTTGAGTATATTCAAACAAGTGATATTTTGATTACAAAAGTACAGCAACCAAGCTCATAAAATTAACAACTGAGATTGAGCTTATAAGATTAACTTCTGTCTACTGATCTCAGTGCGGTGGATGACAAAAAATTATGGGAGCAAGGGAATGAGAGAGTTGTTTTCTTGAGAGTGAGGAACAAGTGACTGTTTAAAATTTTCTATGTGGGTAAGTGATTGTAAGATGTGTACGCATCCCCATAAGTACATGTTGCGTGAGATACTTCAAACAGTACACAGCCTTTGATAAATTTGCTTTTAACCCAGTAGACCTTTCAAAAAGCAGGGCATTGCAATGGATCAAAAGGAAGCAAGAAAAGAGCTATACATTGAGCAATCCCTGTAGAGCAGAAAAGTCAAAAGGATTCCCGGGAATCCCTGTTGGTGGACCAGCCCTTCGCGGTACTTCTGGTTGTTCTGTAGATGATGCTTCAGCTTTCGTGCCCTTCCCCTCAACAGGAGTTTGCTTGTCATCTAATGGTCAGAAACGAAAAAAGTTCAAAGTATGAGCCAAATCAGAATCAAAACATGTCATAAGTTCATTAATAAAATCCAAAAGGTACAGAATCTCAAAATTTATATTGTATTATCTAATGAAATATCAGGAATGGCATTTAGCAGAGACGAATTTTGTAAACAAATTTGAAATCAACAAAGGAAAAACATGATACAAATATAAAAGCTTCTTTAGTCAAAGCACCATAACAGGATGGCATCCGTTTGTCATCCACATCAGAAATGTTGAAGCCTATTTAGACTAAGGCCAAAACTAGGCCTTGTGCATAGTAGCCTTTAAGTTGCTAAATTTGATTCTTAAAACACTTCCAAGCTAATGGGGGCTTGGTGTCATAAAGAAAGTTTAGCCCAAGAATAAAATTACTTATCAAACAACTTGGTAGGCACTTATAATACTAAATGGAAGGTCTGCTAAGAAAATTGTCAAATGTGTGCCTCGTGTGTCAGCACAATCCAGTGCATCCGGATGTTGACTCCAATTTTTTGCAGGACAAGAAAAACACAGGTAAGCGAAGTAAAATTTAGGATTAGAACGCTTGCAAGCCATAGCATTCTATCCCTAAGAAATTTAAAACAGGCCACCATTTCCTGATGTGACAACTGTGGCAAGCCATGCCCGTTGCATGAGGGTTATTAAAGAGACAGTAGTAACAAGGACTTCCCAACGGATTTCAGAACAACCTCCGACACAGCACTTGCAGAATGCTGACCAAAGAAATGTCAACACGTGGCCAACAAACCTCAAACAGTAGTCAGGTCACTGTAGAGTAACAAGTCAGAAGTTTTCATAACAAGAGAACTTCAATAAAATCACAATGAATGCAAAAAGCTAAATGATGCAGAGTATCTTCACGAATTACACTGCCCAGGAATAATTTATCTGAAGGTCCCTATATATTTTTTTACTCTTTAAATAAAATAACACTCTTCTCTGAGAAGTGAATTGGACCCGTGAATTTAGTTTTGAAGACAATGACACTGGGTTTTTCTCCATTTTTTGAACAGGACTCTTACCAGCGTTATCGAGGAGACAGACACAGTTCTCACTCTAGTTTTTTGTGAGTTTGCATCTTCCTCAATTAGAGATCTCTGTACACCACAGAACAGCCAGTTTCTCTACTTTTCCTATTATCAATATTTTCCTCTAAAAAGGGTCAGTTTGCGGCTCGCCAGATTCTCCACGAGGAACCGGTCTCCTCTTCCACCACGCTCCCCACTCTTCCCTTATTCTCCTCCCTCCACCTCTCCACTAAGCTCTTTCTGTCTCTGTACATCCCGCGCATCAAGAGAGTTGGGAAAAGGAAAAAAATCCAAAGATCTATGAACACGGACAACGACAGTAGAAAAGGCAATCAACAAAGTCGTGGTCTATTACCCTTAGCAAGAACACAAATATTATTGACTACGGTCGGCAAAATCATATCAGACTACAATCCCTTTAGTGATGCCGGAGCGTCACTACGAACTAGCATTCTAAATCGTATCAAGAGGAATCAAGAAAACGAGAAGAAAGAGAAAAAAAACATGAGAACCATGATTACAAAGGAGAGCGAAAACAACAGAAGATGAAATACACCTTGATTTCCAGACATCGTTGCCTTCTGCAGCAAGCAAGGAACCCCCGCGGGAGAAGAAGCAGGACACAAGATCTCCCTCCGGCGCCGGGGGGACAGACGGCGGGGTTCTCCCTCTTATCCTCCTCGAAAGCGGTACTGTCGCGAGCGCTCCACCTGTGGAAGGGAGGAGGAGAGAGAGAGAGGGAGAAAAATATATCGGTCAGGGGATAAGAGGCAACGGGAGCGGCGATGAGGAAGAAAATGATTTCTTAAGACACGAGGGGCAACTACGGGTTTTTTACATAGATATTCTAATTCAAGAATAATTTTGCGCAAATGTCCTCTTATATGAGGGTGCACATGTACTTAGTTACGGGATGGGTTTTCTACTAATACATCAGGAACTCAAGATTATCGACTAGTTTGAGCGAGCCGACTGAGCTCTTTCTTTATTCACGGTTTCTTAAAAGTTCGATTAATGAATTATAAAAATACTTTCCCGTAGAAGGTATCCTCCCATTTGTATGTATGATTATTAAATAAAAATACGGAAGGCAGACAGGTCAAGATGAGATGTATTCGAAATTAGAAAATATTTTCCCTCCATGAACTCCAATTACTAATTGTGTAAAGCCTTAAAAATACCTCCATACCATAAAAATTGAGATCTCTCACCAGAAAAAAATATATATTTCAACTAATTTCAGATAATTTGAAATATATTCCAATTACTAATTGGTCTTGTGGCCAATATCATAATTTGAAGGCTTTGATCCAATGAAATATTCGGATGCAATGTGCTTTTGGTCAACTGTTTCTAGGTAAAACCTAGAAGATAATTAAGATGGCTCCATAACTATAAAAAAAGAAGATGAAATAGTACATAGAAGGACTTATGGCTCATGTAGTATAAAGTGGAGATGAATAGACTCTTTTTTTTCCAAAGTATTATTTATTTATCAATTATGTTATCTATATGATATTTAGGATTCTCCTAATTTGTTGGACTAGTAAAACAATTATTTGTTTATATCAGGTGAATGAGAATGTAGTGGAGTTAGTTTGAGCGCAATTTTCCAAATACTATACAAAGGGCACTAAATAGGAAATTATAATACAGAATTTAATTTACTTATTAGATTCTATTCTTTGTTTTTTTGCAGTGCATAAACATGGTTTCAAGTATTTTGACAAGAGAACAAACAGAAGTATATATATCTATATATATATATATTATATAAATTACCAATGCATTATTAGTAATATATATACATATTTTATAATAATAAAGCATGATATGTCTATATATTATTTATTTTTAAGTATTTATAAAAAAAACTATTAGAAGAAATAAATATACAGAATAAATAACTTCATATATTTTAAATAATGGTTTATAATTGTATAATAAGGAAACATGGCAAAGTTTAAAGATATATAAAAAAATATGTATATGTAAACCAAAAAATGTTTTACACAAATATGTAAAACATATGTAAATATATAAACAATTTTTTTACAGTGGACTTATATAGTTAGGGACATAATTATACAGAAGAAACAAAGGGTAAATTTTTTCTTATCTGCCCAAGTTACGAACCACGGGCGTAGTCCCCCTCCCCCCCGGTCCGACTACAACCCCACATCCCTTCCACCCCTTTTCGACTTGCTCTCAAAACCCCAAACCTCTGACTGTCCCGCTTAACTACGGCAGAGGAAGGGCAGAACTGGTTTCGTCGCCGGGGAAGGGGAGGTGGTACCTGCGCGGACAGCGTTCAGAGGGGGAGTCATGGTGCGGCTGACGGCAGACCTAATCTTGAAGAGCCCGCACTTTTTCAACGCCCTACGCGAGCGGGAGCTTGATCTCCGGGGTAAACAGCGCCTTTCATCAGACCACCCCACTTGGGTCGATTTTTCGTTGTCTCCTATTCTCTCTAAAAATAGACACTAGGAAGGGTTCCCGGATCCTTAAATCTAGCAGGTCCAGAACTTACGCTTGGATTCTTTCCTTGTGATCCGCATTCTCTACACTCCTCTCTTTATAGCTTTAGGCGACAAATGCTAATGCATTTATCATTTTTTTTCCTATTTTATGATTTTCCTCGAAATTTTCAGGTAATAAGATTGCAGTGATAGAGAACCTGGGCGCCACAGAGGTGTGTCTTTCTCCCCCAAGATTTCATGTGGATCTGGCTAATGCGCATTGAACTGATATCGTTTACGCCCTATAGACTTTCCATCATATGCATTATTTCAACGTTCCATTTGCGTATGACCGTGCTGATGGAGTGAACTGCCCTAGAGAGTAGAGGGAAAATGGTGAGAACAAAGAAATTGATGGGGGTGGAACCGTTGAAGATGTTTGGCTCGGGTAGGTGGGTCTTTTAACTAGTTTGTTGGCTTGTGGTACCATCTGTTCGGTGCATAATTCGATTATGTTTGCCTTTTGTTATCTGGGACCGGATCAACAACTCCGTTATTAGCGATGGAAACTCAACTAAGATAGACTATCCTTATTATTAATTTTTTACATATCCACAAGCAGGAAATATCAATAATTCTCACCAGATCCTTCCCTTATTCTGTTGCCAGGGCGTAAATGGATTTCCCATTTGCATGATGATAAAAGTGCATAACGAATACATTCACTGAGTCTAGAAAGAAGTAGATTCTGGTTAAGGCCATTTCTAGAAGAATCCTTTCTAATAACACTGATCCGAATTGACTTTTCTGTATGTGTAGAGGAGTTTTTTTTATCGATCGCTTTTGTCAACCCCTGGCTTCATTGTGTGATCGAAACATGGCTGGTTAATGTAAAGACTAGCCCTAAAATGATTAGTTAGGCTAGAGACCTAGTTGTAGCATTTTGGCTGGTAATAAGTTTGACACTTGTATGGAACAGAGGCATTTTTGCGGACCCAAAAAAATAAATCGTGAATTTCGATGAGACTCATAGATGTCTCAAGATACACTAATCCTCAATATGATGTATGCATAAACTTTCCCATTGGCCAATGGTCTCATATATGTTGAATCACAGCAATTAGTCAAGTCTGGCAGTGTTTTCATTGGTGCTGTTGCATCAAATGGCAAAACTAGACGCAACTTTCTTATTTTTCGAAAGGTAATTCTTAAGAAACTTTCTTGATCGATGTTTTTGAAAAAAAGCCTGTTCTGAATTCATGGAATAGACTTCCTTCGATACATACTAGAAAGCGAATCATTTGAGCCAGTTGCAGTCAATAACATTTCCCTTCGCCTTGGTTTGACCCGTTTCTATCCATCTGTCAGTTGTGCACTCATCTCTATATTAGTGCTTCTTTTAGAGTCAAATTATTATGCTAAAGTGAATGTTCAACGGAATTGTCTAGTAGATGGGAACTATTATGCTTCCCGATGGTCATATATGAAACTATGACCATGGATGAAACTCCTCTTCCTGTGTCACAGACAGTGGCGGGAAGTTGTGTCATCCATTTTTTCTCTGAAGATTCTTCAAATATAACAGTATAAGATTGAAGACTTGTGGGCATCTTGAATCGAATTTCGATAAACAGTAATCATTCAAACACGAACATGGCTTTAGTGATTTGGTGGACATAATCAGATGACTGTGTTCCCGACATTGGACATTCTACATGTTTACAGTGGTTTTATTACTTTGAAAACTAACCTGTTAAGCAAACAAGCCTTTGAAAACAACTATGATTTGGTCTCTGAGATTTCTCATTATTTTTGGTTATCAAGTCTTCTAGCCACAGAAGAAATGCAGGCTGGTTTGATTGATGTCTGAGACTTCAGCATTATCAGCTCGGATTATAAGTGATTGAATATTGGTGTAGGTACCGGAGGATTTTTCTAGGTGATCCAGAAGGATGTTGTAGACTTCGTTTCTTCTTTTCAGATGTTGATTGTTCTTGAACGGCATTCTCTCAGATTACCCAAGTTTGGTTAATGGAACCTGAAGGCTAGAAATATTTAGCATTCCTAGGCGTTTCTTTGGGGATTGACACTTTTTTTTTGGCCACCGAACAGGCTTCTAGGTTCTAGGAAGATCAACCTCTAGCACTGTGGAGAGAAAAAAGTTGTTTTATTGTAAATCGTTTTTATATCATAAACGAAACTTATAATTCTACTCTGTAATGCCACTTGACCAAATAGCTAAGAAAGTTGCGGGAAGATCTATCTCTAATTCTTAGAAACAACAATGCTAGTGCACTCAGTACTGTTTTCGTTTTGATTGTAAATGGATGACAAACACTTCCACCTGGGCTGTGAATTATGTTTTCCTTCACCACCTGCTATTATAGTATATCTGGGCAATCCTATTTTTGGCATTGAATATCTGAGAGGAAACGTGGACTGAACTGAATTTCATCATCTTTCCTCGATTTCAAAGAAAGGCTACCCTGTGCTGATTAATTTTCCCGAATATTTTGGGACCCGAATGTATGTATTACTAAATAAACCTTGCAGGTAACTTTCGCCTGCTCACTGATTCCATTCTAAATTGTACACTTTCATCTTTGATGGTTGAGTCCCAATGCCTCAGTAGATCCCCAGATGCTTGAAGGAAGGGTGGAATATTATCTATGGCTGTTGCGCACCTTTATGGCAGACGTCTATAAATAGAAGCTTCATGTCATAAAAAATAGGAGTTCAAAATTTGAGAGGGGATGAGATGTGACTTGTGTTGAACTCTCTAGGATTGTTTTTCCTTTCTATCTATTTCTTTTCACTGTATTTCGTCCTTCCCTGTCATTCCCTATGTTAAGTGGATCCATTAGACTGTTAACGGATCCACTTAAAGACTAATGTAATGGGCGTGGCCCATTAACTCATGTAACCTGTACTTAAGCGGGAAACCACGATAATTGATGTAAGATTTTGGGATTGCGGAAATTCTGCTCCAAGAAGTGGTGACTGATTCATCTTCCTGGAAGAGGAGGATCGTGAAGATCGAATCCTTTCATTCTCCAAGTTGCAAGAATCTCAATCAAGATCAATTCTCAACAACTTGTATTTAAGTTAGACTCGTTATTCAGCAGCGATTTGGTGGCAATGGTGGAGGAAATATATTTTCAAACAGTTTTCGAAATGTAGAAAATAATTGGTGATAATTGACGAGTGTCCAACATTTCAGATTTCTTCTTGGGGAGATTTCTCTGGTTCACCAGAAAGAAAAGATCATGCGATCGATGTTTACGTGAAATGTCATGGTTGGACTTTGATTTCCTTTTTCAGGGAGAAATTGAAAGCCCTTATATGGAACACTTAATTTTTCTGACTTGGTAACCTTCGATATAATGTTTATATATGTTTGAGATGGTACTCCTTCTTAAAGCTTTTTTTTTCTTCACTGCGTGGAACTTCTTGCATAACCAAGGTATCCAGCCTTTTCTTCTGTATGCATTTACGATTTTCGGTATCTTTCAAAAGAAAGCTATAATGAAACGGTCATTGTTGCTGAATATTTATACATCTGATCTTCCAGGAGCATGTTTGAAGATTCTTCACTGCTGTGTTATTGTCTGCCATGAGATGTTGAAGTTGAATATAATAATAGAAGATTGTTTATGAGACAAACTATTTTAGAGCAAGAAATGCCTCTTGAAATCATTATTTTTATTTCTCTTAGCTTTTGTCTTTAATGATAATTATGTTGCTATTCAGTATTCATTGTCTATTATTTATTCTTTCTGATGCTTTTGATTGCTTATTCCTATGTCAGGATCAATTTGATACCATCGATTTGACTGATAATGAGATTGTTAAGTTGGAGAATTTTCCTCACATGAGCCGTCTTGGTACATTGTTGATGAATAACAATAGAGTTACACGCATCAATGCCAATATTGGAGGTGAGAGCATCTAGATACTGAGGTGCGCCATTTATCTGAGTTTCCTTGTTTGTCACTGATTTCTGCAATTTTTTGCTCCTGTGTATTTGCAGAATTCTTGCCAAAGTTGCATACCTTAATTCTCACGAACAATCGCCTTGTAAACTTGGTCGAGATTGATCCACTTGCCTCCCTTCCAAAATTGCAGACACTAAGCTTGTTAGACAATAACATCACAAAAAAGCCAAATTATCGGTTATATGTGATTCACAAATTGAAAAAGCTACGGTTGCTAGACTTCAGGAAGGTGAAACTCAAGGTTAGTTGATTGTAAGCTGTTAATCATATGTCCTATGGCTAATTTCTGTTGGAATTAACAAGGTGGATTATCCATCCATGCCAATCTTTAATTGATGATCTTGGACTAACTTATTTTTTATGTTTTTTAGAAGCACCTTGATATAGTATGTTTTGCTATTATTTGTTTTGCATAAGACGCATATTCTTTCAATGTGTTTCGAGTTTAGAAAGAATTATATTTTATTTCATGGTTGTGACCTTCATGGTGATTATGATATATTTAGGTATAAATTGATATTCTCTTCGGATCTGCAAATAGCTTTCATAATATTAATACTGCGTTTGTAGCTAATCCTTTTAGACTATGGGCTGGCAACATGGAAAGGAAATTCTTTGCTCCCAAAATTTCAGTTGCCATGAGACCTGTGTGACTTGTGTACACATATACTTGACGAATATGTGGAATATGAAAATTGATAAACTCAGGTGCATGCGTGTGTGGTGTTGGCTGGAGAAAATGGGAACCATTGTAAGAGGTGGTGGTATAAATGATGGAGAACGGTATCAATTTTGCTTGATGTGGTGGACATGCTATAATCTGGCTGCAGAGATCAATGATGGCAGTTGTTCGTTGTGTTGTTTGATGTGCAGCCGAAGCAGCTTGTCGTTGAAAGCTTGTTTCATTTTACTGTCTTAATGGGGGAAAGATGGGGGAAAGAGAATCTGGGTAATTTTTGAGGTTTAGGGATTTTGTGTATATGTTTTTTACCTTCTATTGCAAAACAGGGTTTGTTTTTCCGGTCAATCTTGCTGCTTTTTCTTTCAAGATTATGGCAGTCTTTAGGTGGTATGTGAAGAGTGGAGGGTTCTTAGATTGTGGCTTCAGATAGTTGTGAGGATTTGCTGATACATTAGTGATATTGTGAGGGTCATTTCTTCGATGCATCTTTTCCTGAGCGGTTCTTGATTGACAATGCATAGTAAATGGGGAATATTATCTTATATGGTTCTATTGTATTGTGAGGTTTATTCATCACTGAGTTTATATCCTATTTCTTTCGACTTCTGGTTCCTTTGCATGTCTATTAAGCTTGCATATGTACTTATTTGCTAACGTGTCTTTTGTTTTTTATCCCTGAAAAATAGTTCATTGATTGACATCTCCCTCTTAACTTCGTTATTGCCTATGACGACCTCAAAACTATTTAACCCCTTGTAGAGTTCTGTCAGTGGGGCAAATATGCTTGGAATATTCATGGAAAGATTGGAAAAAAATCTTAGTGAGAAGATAGAATAACTTAGTGCCATGATTGTCATATATCCAGTTTATTCAAATGACTATCAATATTGGAAAAAACTAAAATTCCAGGTTTGCTCCATTTACGTAAGCATTTGCCCTTCATTCAATTTTATTGCATGGTTTTCTAAATTTTACATTCTCATTGCTATGTTATAGGATTAACATTCAAGAGTTAACTTCATTATATATTACTTTGGTGCTACCTTGGTAGACATTCTCAGGACATAGATCCTTTCTGTAGATTATTGCTACAATTTTGACTCAGGAACATAGATTCCCAAAACAAAATCAACAGTCTGGGTACTGTTGAACCTCATGATTTGTTACTTGTCACTTGATAATATCAAATAAAATCAGCAATTTAATGTTTTGACATTGGTAATCATTATGAAGAATAGCAAAACTTTCTGCACAAAGTTCATCTCATTTGAGAGTCAACCAAGTTCAGTTGCAGTCCCTCTAGTTATACTTTTTCCTCAACCGTGCATTTAGAACAAAAAATGGGTTTAAAAGGTACTGTAGCAACATATGACAATGTAGAACAGCACTAGAAGATATCGGAGTTAACTGTAACTGTAGTAGATTCTTCAGTACGCCTCCTATTGTCTGCAGAATGAGTAGATACGGGAGCAGTTTTGTTTGCATTGTCGACTTGATAATATTGATCACGTTTTACACAATGCTATAGGTCTTCTTCCCTCTTATATTCTCATGTTTGCGTCTAGTATTGTTCCTCTTCAAGTTTTCTTTCAGAAGGACCTTGACATCCTAAAACTTCTTGTCAACAACTGGAGATGCCTTCAATGCATATGCCTATCTATATTTAGCGATGGAGTGGTAATCATGAACATAGTTCAGAATTCCCATGGACTTTAAAACATGTAACGAATATTGCTCTTTGGTCGGTGGATAAACTTTGCTTTTTGCCATTTTTCACAGGTGCAAAGCTCGTCATGTAATGTCATTTGATCTCCTAAAATGTACTCCCCCCAGCTCGTTGTATGTGTGTCAGTGCTTGGGGGACAAGCTTGCCTCTTCGTATCAATGATGTTTTTAAGTAAAACTTGACTAGCACGAGGCATCAATTTGAACTAGGGGGAAGAGAGGAGGATAGATAGAGGGATGAAGGTTAAGTGACAAAGGAGATGGTATTTGCCGAATTCTGATTTAACTAGGGTTTGTAGCTGAGAGTGTTGATGGTATGGGTGAGTGAGAGAGAGTGGGTATGAGCTGGGAGTCCTTGTTGTCAGATTGGGAACCAAAGGTTGATTAAACCAAACTTAACCGGGTTGTAGTTAATGGAGTGCAACCCGAGTACAATTATAGGATTGGTTGTTTTGTAGATAACAACACAGCATGGAGGGATTCATTGATCAATCGGCTATTTTATTAGGGTCAACAACCAAACCAATCTTTTAACCATAGCACGATACTTTTCCTGACTGTAGATTTCCATATTCTTAGCCATTTGGCATACCCTCCTTTAATCTTTGAGTTAGAAACATAGTCTGATGATTTATGGCGTGCTGAGAAAATAAATGTAATAAATTGGGAGTCTAAGATGGGAATCACCATGACCATTTAGTGCATCTCAGAGTACATCAACTAGTGAAAAAGGGAGGAATTCTGTTAAGACGAAAGATGCAGCACTGTACAATTTATTTGATGGATGTTTTCACTCGATTAATATTCCTTTCCTTCTTTGTTTTGAAGACATGCCAAGATCTCGAACATTGTTGTAAAGTTAAAACTAATAGTATGGAAAAAAAAGGCGCTTGAGTAATTCAGATGGAAATTTCGTCAAGTTGATGTCATGGCCTTGAATCAGAATCGTCGTAATTAACAACGATCTATCTGCACAACTTCTTTTCTTCTGTACTGAAACTGATGTGCCGTGTGAAAAGAGGGACCATCATTAGAAGATTATGCAGAGTTTCATTGCGAGACAGTCATGGTCATGCCTTGAGGAATATATGACTAGTAGTTATACCTTTTCACGCAAAGGAAATAAGGGAAAGTTCATTCTCCATTCCAGTTTGCCACTGTTGTATACGAGAGCATAATGGTTGAGATATATCCGTTTACATGTTTATACTTGTTATTAGAGTCAACAAATTTTCAAAAGGGCCATTCATTTAGTCATCTAAGGTTGCAGAACAAAAAGGTCATCTGTTTGTATTTTATGTTCTCGAATTTCATATGTTGACTTTCCAATTTTTGGACTATATTGCTGTCATCGAGACAACCCATGGGTTTCCGAGTTGTTATTTGTAACATTGTTCTCTGTTGATAGGAGAGAACTCAAGCAGAAGAATTGTTTGCCTCAACAGAGGCAGTAGAAGAGGTTAAAAGGCAATCAGTGAAGACATTTACTATAGTAGAGCAGACCAAATCACCAGAGATGCCAAAGGAAGAACAAGCACCAAAAGTCATTGCCCCTACACCAGAGCAAATTACAGCCATTAAGGTATCATACAGAAGCATTAAATTGACATCTGTTTGATACTTGGGTTCATGTAAAGCACTCCTGTTTTACATTTGTACCTTCATTTTTCATCAAATTTTGCCGTCCTCCATTCCGGCCAGATCCTTTCAGGTGGCTTCAGCATGTGCTTATTCTTTCTCAGTCAATTGACCCAGTTGTAAAGAGGCAGTTAGATTACTAATATGGAGATATGAACGTCTCTAAGAGGTTGCTCGTGTTAAAAGATTGTTATAAAGTACTGTCCTATTGGATGCAAGAGATTCAAGGTTTCCCTGACCACTCCAGATATAGATGTGATTATAGTCCTCGTTACTTGTTTGAGTCATTTTTAGTGTTTGTCTATCCTCTACTCTCTTGTTGGAAGCAGACATGTATTGTGGGGCCAATGATTTTGGCGTGTAGCCTGGGGGTATATTGGTGACGGAGTGTATAGGCCTGGCCTGTTGCTTCCTTTGAAGGGGAGTCACCACCGAAATGTTTCACGTCACCTTTTTTTTATTTTGACAGGGGTAGCAGCTTGTCGATATTATCTTAACTTAGATGAGATTTCAAGCACCATAATTGAAATAGAAGTCTTTATGTCTTCCTGCATGCCATGTTTATGTCAAGCTTTCGTATTTTAGCCATTCTTGACACCAGGTCAGTAGGTCCAAGACAGTGCTTATGTTGGCCTGAGGAATTAGCCCCACATATATGGTGCACATATAGTGAAAGATATGTGAGCTGAGTCAAATTGATCACATCATGTTTAGCATCCTTCATTGATGGCTTATTAATTTCAATTCATTAGGACAGTTAAAGTGGCGGCCTAACTGAGTGCATGTTCATTGGCATAGCGATGTTCACAGATGGGTTCAGCCTAATTTCCATTTGAGTGACATCTTTGTGTGCCGTTCGCCAGTACCCCACAAACTGGTTCCTTTGCATGAATGCGGCCATTGGTATATGATTCCACTTGTTTTTTGAAAACCATGCAGACAGATGCTCGTTTGAAGATGTAGGTGCCTGCAGATTGGTTTCCTTCTGTAAAATGTTTTAGTTAAAGGTTGATTGACAAACATAAGAAGTTGAAGTAAACTTTAAAATGTCAGAATCTAACTAAAGTGAAAGATCCATATGGTGAATGACTTAAGAATGGAGATGTTTGTTTCCAGAGAAGCACATTGTCGGAGTCCAATATTTGAAAGAGCATGATTTTCTGGATCTAGAGTGGTTCTTTTACTTATGATCCTGGTGTAAGATAGGTTCTTACCAAAAAAATAAATTTATATCTCATACAGAACCAAGTAAGCTCTATATTTATCTAGAAGGTTGAGATGAGTTTGCATTCATTAATTTTTCTTTTCATTTGTCAACAAAATATGGAAACTTTCAGTGTTCATTGTTTTGAATCGTACTTCAATGGGAATATGCAGGCTGCAATTGTAAGTTCCCAAACACTGGAAGAAGTTGCGCGCCTTGAACAGGTATCCCTCATATGGATCAAGTTGATTATTTTTCTGCAATTATTAAGACATATTAGATATTACTTGCTTTTGAATTCCGATTTCCTGTAGACCGTTTCTGCCTGCCCCAATTTCTGAATTTTTTCCCTTTGAGCAGGCTCTCAAATCTGGCCAGCTCCCTGCTGATCTGAAGATTCCAGATGATACTTCAGCTGCTGTGCAGAGAAAAGACGATAAAATGGACATAGATGAAAGTAATGAAATGGACGGTGCTTCAAAGGATGCTGAGGAAACTCAGTCGGAAGATGGTCATAAACTAATTGAGGTGTGTTGTCCATAGTGATTTCACCTGAGAAATGGGTCTTAATTTTTTTATCTTGCAATGGAGCCCCCGTTTGCTTGGTTTCTCAATGAGTAGTTATGATCTCTCACCCACCCTCATCTCTCTGCAATATTTAGAGTTCATTGATTTCATAGGTGCCATATGCTTTTATGTTTTCGAGAATTTAATGCCAATCAATAATTACTACTGTGGATCACAACTAATGGGTACTAAGTGAAAAAAATATCGTACAATGTCAAGAGTGATTAAGCAAACCTTAAAAACGCACATAGGTGTGTAGTTCCCTCTAGGGAACAAGAAGGAGCGATAGTGGGTGAATTAAACAAGGGGAAGTGTTGATTTTGCTTTAAAATTGTTTTTGGACATGCTCTGTCGGCCTACTGAGGAGTCTCGAAAATAAAACACATGTCCTAATCAATTGGTTTGAAGCTTATAATATTGAGGCAGCAACGTTGTTGAAAAGCCATCGGTTTCTTGTGTTGAAATCAAGATTTCGCACCTATTTTATTACAACTGTCCAACATTTCTGACCTTGTTTTCGATGTTTTAGTAGTGTTTGGCAATCACATATGTGATGATCCCTCCCTGAGAAATAGTGGGGAATTGTCCCACATCACGCGTATTCCTGATGATTATTTGGAACAGCATACGTACTAGTCACTGATTAAACAACCGTCGTATTCCTGTTAAGAACCAGTACAACTTGCTTGACCCTTTTCTTCATCTTTCTTCAGGACTAGCTTACGACCATACATTGAAGCCTTCAGGAGTATACCTGCGCTTTCCAACCCCTGCATATCCGCCCTCTTGGGGGGAGCTGTCGCGCGGTGGTCAGTCAGGACAGGAGCCGGTGGGAGAAGAGAGAATGGGAAGGTTTACCCCTGCCGTCTTGCTCACTATTCCCTCGTTGTGCTGGCTTCCCGCCTAACTGAATTAACTTTTGGTACTCGTCTCGCATTTTCCATAAGATTTTTCATGTTGGATTCGCCCTCGTGTTCCTATTTTTAGCGGACGATTTGGAAGGAACAGTTTTTGCTTAAAAACAGATGGCAGCAGCCATTCTGAAGAATATCTATCAAGAAGAAATTAAAGAAGAAATTGAGTGCCTTGGTTGATTCAAGGCATCATACATACATGAGCAGATACACAGACACAGACACACAATAGTTAACAGTCAAATGACCCAGAACCAGGTAATGACCGAGCCGCAGGCCAAGCCGAGGACCAGGAAGAGGACGATGGCGATCCCTGCGGTCTCAGCGTGCTGGATGGGGACGGACTTGGGGGCTAGGATCATCAGCACGCTGGTCAGGTACCCATTGGTGAGGCCCAGCAGGCAGGTCAACACCGCAACAGGTATCTCCGTGCGAAGGAACTCAGGGCCATGCATACAAATCAGGAAGAGCGGGAAGAAGAGCAACCTGGCTGCGCAGCCAGCAATGGCGGTTACCTCGTTCTGGAGCATGTAGAAGGCGGGTAGGCACTTGCCGACCAGGTCAAACACATTGTAGGCAGCGGTAAGGATGACGGGGTACCAGTCTTTGAGGGTTGCTGAATGCACGTCCTGAGTGAGATAGCCAGGGAAGATGGAGAGGGTCACCGCGTAGATGAGGAAGATGCCGAGGCCGAACGATTTGACTCTGCTGATGATCCTCCACAGGGTTGACCGCCAGGCGGCTCCGGTGAGGGAGGAGTCCTTCCCTTCTCTCTCGTTTTCCTCCGCTTGGGTCTTGAGGGCCTTGTAGTAGCGGACGACTGGTAGCCGGTCCGCCAAGTTGTAACAGACCAAGCAGAGCCCCATGAGGATGATGCTGACAGCGAAGTAGAGGTGGGCGCTCTTCCTCAGGCCGTGGGAGTCTTGTGAGAACATGGCTTTGGTGAGGATCCTCATGAATGAGATAAGAACCCCTGGGACAGAAGAGTGTGCGAATTTCACGGGGGTCAGACCTGAAAAAGCTTCTTGATCATCTGGAGTTGGAGTCATGAAAGAAAGAACCCATCCACCGGAAGCAGAGAAAAATGGAATGCCATCTAATTTAAGCGCTAACAGTTTGAAGATAATTTCTGCTTCTTTTTATTGCTCGGTTTGTCTCCAAGGGACTCCTTTTTCCATGGCTGGACTGCATTTGTTCGTGAAACAGAGAGAGTTCTGTGACCTTTACAGGAGAAGATGCCATCAACAGCTACCCAATCTTTTCCATCTACATCTCCTAATTTACTTCAAACACGATCCTTCTTAGATTGACACCACGGATTAGATAATCAATTCACTAATTGGGAAAAAATATTTTCCCTAAATAACCTAAACGAGCCATGTTGCAGATAAATGTCAAGAAATGAAGAGGAAGTTTGTTGGCGATCCACAAGAATTACAGCCCTGACGGATAAATTAAAAATCTTTTGATTCTCAATAATCCTGAATAGGGTCTATATTATCTTCATCCTGCCACTTCTCGAGTTAATGATGATTGGAAGTAGGGAACTAGAAACCCTCTTGAATACCAAAACCAGAGACCGTTTTGTTTCGTCAAGGGTCCTGAAGTACACATACATACATAGTTCGAGTGAGGAACCACAACACAGTTATTACGGGTGACAGAAGACCCACATCATCTGGACTGAAAGCCCTTCCAGGAAAGCTGCATGGCAATTATAAGGCAGGAAGGTGTACAAGATTGTGAAGAGATCCGTCTGACCAAAGGGGAACAAAATTATGAGGGCATCGACAGATTCTTACTGTCCACAACAATAATCGGAAAACGTGAGGTGGAAGGGCCACATACTGTATATTTTCTTCGGTAAAAAAGGTTTGAATCGGTTCAGTTCATTATTTCAGACAAAAAGATTGAGTCATGAACACAGAAAATGATACCCAAAACGGGAGTGAGGATACTAAATTCCCTGGAACTGGCAGACGAGAATAAGCAGAAATTGCCTAGGTGATCATGGGAAAGGGATCCCCGACTCGGACTGCTCACTTCCCCCCTCATGGGGGAAAGATCACAGACTAAGAATGAATGGAGAAAAAAGTTGTATAAACATGAAAAAGGAAGGAATCAAGGGTTGGCGTTGCCAGCACCTAAAGAAGTGATTGTACAGCATAGGTTGGTGATCTTGTTGCGGTCCAACGATCGGAGAGAAGAAGTAAGTCTGTCTTCTTACCTGTCGTCCACAAACTGTAATCAGCTTATCAGGTGAAAGCTAAAATTCAAGCAAGAATGTTTTTATCATAAAGTTTAGGGTCCAGCAAGATATCTCTTCGTCTCCATAAAAGCTTCTTTAGGCTGTCTAGACTGCGCGGAATAGGAGACGACTAACCATGCGGTTACTGAGGAATCAGATCTGCGTGGGGGAGACGGCGCAGAAAAAAGGAGAGTTGAAACTGACAATTCCAGTAAGGAGATTTTAATGAATCGATGTGAAGAAGCACAATCCCAGCCAAAGTGAGTCATGGTGAAGATGGCTAATCTAATTACCAGAGGCGGCAGTTCCAGCGACAACAGCCTGCATGTAGCGCTCAGGGAGCTCTCCCGCGGAGCCGATAACACCGCCCTGGACGAGGGCGTCGCCTATCCCGGAGAGGACGACGGCGACGACAGTGATATCGTAGCCTGTGTAGAGGCCCTGGCGGCCCTTAACGTAGGCGACGTCGACGATAGGAACGAGAAGGAGGCTGACGACGAAGAGGACAAGGCCGGAGTTGATGCGGATGGAGGCGCCGGAGCGGTGAGCCCACCATCCGACTATGATGATGAGGAAGATGAGGGCGCAGATCATGTAGGAGATGGAGAAGACGCGATCGATGGGAACTGCAGGGTACAGGTAGGAGAAGTAGTCGACTGCGGTGATGAAGGTATTCCATGGGACGAGGAAGCCGGCGCCGAGGATGAAGTAGACGATGTAGGCCAGATGCAATCTGTCCCTGGGCGCTGCCCCATGACTGAGGAGTAGCGCAGTTTCTCCTCCTTCTTCCCCGCCGTGATCCCCATTCTCCGCCGCAACCCCAACCATTTCCCCCTCTTCCTCCTCTTCCTCTTCCTCTTCCTGTTCCTCTCCTTCTTCTTCTCTCTCTCTCGCTTTATATGATAGGTGATAGATAGGAGTATGGCAGTCAATGACTGATCCCTCGGCGCAGAGGGAGACCACCAATTTCCTCTGGTGCGTGGACGAAAGCCATTGGACTACGCAGCTCTTACGCGTGCATTAAATAACGACGGAAACGTGGAGATCCGGTAAGGCCAGCCGTCGGATGCTACTTCCCACGAGCCTGTCCAAGTGGGAATAAACCACCAGCCAGCGTTGACCAGGAGAAGTGGGGGATAAGGAAAGGGGTCAATTGGGCTGAATAGCCCAATGGGCTATACTAATGGGCTCGTCTTCCCTTCCCTCGTCGTTTTATTGTTATCTAAATTAATAAATAAATAACAAACCTATATAAACGGGAGATGGCCTTCAAACCTCGCGGCTATCCGTTCTCGGCCCTCGACACAGCAGGTTACTGTGAGGTAGAGCTTGAGGGCATGGGGGAGGGCGTGGTGTTCGTCGACAAGGAGCAGCAGCCGGCTGCCGTCGGTGGAGCCGTGTCCACGACGATGGCGGGTGTCAAGGGAGGGAACCCCCTCTCTGCGGCGCAGAACTGGGCGATCGAGATGCAGGAGGTCTTCCGCGTGTGGCTTGGTCAGCAATCCATCCCCGTGGAGGCCGCCATCACCACCGGCCTTGCCGCTCTTCAAGGAGGGGCCATGGGGGGCCTCGTCAGCGTTCTCAACAAGGACCTAGCAGGTTCCCTCGAGTCCCAGCGCGGCACCATGGCTTTGGACTCCAACGCAGCAAAACCTTTTCTCCCTCCCGAGGTTTGTAGCCTTGTAATATACCTCCTACTGCTAATGCGGCATCTTCCGTGTCTAATGTTGTCATTTAATTGTTAGTTTAAACCTGAAATTATTGCTACCGATATTCTTGATTAGTCCTTTTTTTAGTTACCAGCTATATATATATATATATCTGATCAACGATTCTTCTTACATCCTTCCTTCCCGCGCACGCAAAGGGACTGGCAAGTGAAATAGTTTCTAGGAATCTTTGTTCTTCATGAAGGATAATCTTCCGAAATGATCTTATATATAGACGACGGTTTTTTGTCTGCATGCAAGCATTTGAAGAGATGAAGTTGGCTTCTTCAAGGGATAGCTATCTGTGTAGCAGAGCAAGCAGTGACAATTCTTGAACCCTAGATCTTCATCAAAACGTTTTCAGCTCGGGTTCGCCCATGAGATTATTCACAGTCGTCGGAATTTCACTCTGATGGCCAACATAGAGTATAAACAAGAGAAGTAGAGGGAGGAAATGACAGTTGAAGCTATCTCACTTACTCACTGACCCCTCTCTCTCCCTCTCTCTCTCTCTCTCCCTCGTACTATATCAAGTTCCACGAATAACTTGTTTATTTGTGTCCTTACTTCCGTCTCTCCTCATTTTTGACATTCTTCTGTAAATGTCTTTCTAACTTCCAGTTTATCTTTCTTCCCGTGAAAATTCATACTCCCTCAACATAGAATCCTTTTATTTCAGTGGGAGGATTCCTTTCTCATAATTCCTCAACATGTAGAAAAGGTTCTTTTTAAACTGTGTAAATCTACTTTTAGTGGCAAAAATAGTTCCACAGTTGGAATCCTGCTAAAGAAAATTCAGCGGTGAATGATAACTCGACTGAATTGTGGCTTTAATCATGTTACTGAAATTATAAACCTTTATCTTTGCGGGCTTGTTGGGCTTTGTAATTTTTGTTTATTGTATATTATTTTCGTATCTCCTGCTCTCGTCCCTCCTTGATAGATGCTTAGTGCTACTTTCTGCTTTTAAAGATTTTTAATTTGATTCTTTTCTTTCTTTTGGTGTTGGCATTCAGGGCATGATAGGTAATCCATTCATCCAGGCTCGCAATTTCGCAGTCTTAACTGGGGTAAATGCAGGGATATCTTGTGTTCTGAAAAGGGTAAGGGGATTAGACGATGTCCAAAACAGGTAATTATCATCGAGTTTTTTTTCTCTCGTATCAACTCCCCTTTATGCGGTCTCTTTTCAATACTGTCCATAGTATAGAATCATATAATTAATTTTCTTGATGCTTCAGTCACAGACTTTAGGTAACTAGATCTCAAGGTTGGCTTTTTTTTCTTTAATAGGTTACAAAATATTACTGAACAATTCATCCCTATCCGTTATAATCTCAAGTCTGAAGTTTCACTCCTTGTTTGGTAGGCAGTTGTTTGAGTAACTTAGACAATAGACGTATAAGCAGTAGGGAAGTTGATGATTACATATAGAAAACTGACGACAACACATCTGTTCATCTTTTGGATGTTGAAACTGTGATATTTCATCCCGGTTGCACGTTGTGTAGGCCAACAGTGTCCTGGAGGATGTAGAAACGGTACCACCAAAGGAGCAAATATCCACCCATTGAAGTTGGATGTTGACAATGGAAAAGGCAGATCGTGGTGTCATATATTATGTACAAATGCGGACATGCTGACATTTACTAAAAGGTCATGGGAAATCATGATGGTTATTGCTAGCAAATAATAATAACGGTCAGAATTCTGAAGGGAGATTGTCTGAACAATAGTGAAGGAACATTTTGCCAGTTTCACATGTTGTTTGTTATATAGTAACTGATTCATTCTCATATATTGCGCTCAGTGACGCAAGTAATTGTCAACACCCATGTATTTTGCTACTGAACCACTCTACATTCTAATGATGTTGTTTAAAGTTATATATTGCTTTTTAACATGGTTCCAGAAGGTTGCATATTCGTCCTGATGTATTTTTAGTAGACCTTGATGGTTGTTTTATTGAATTAGATACACGTTATTATTTATAACGTTTTTATTTGGTTCACATATCGTTGTATAATCTTTGTTTTATATACTTTGCAGCATGGCAGCAGCATTTGGTTCTGGATTTGTTTTTTCATTGGTAAGTAGCTCAGGTGGGCCTAACATTCCTGGGGCAGTAGGCACTGGAGCTTTCTTTGCCATTCTCCAAGGTGGAATTCACAAGGTAACAAGAAGTCAAATTTCTATCACCTTAAATCTTCCTTGCCCACTGAGTTCTGTCTGATGCATAATCTTCTTCAATGCAAGCTCTTGAAATTTGGCATACCTGCAGAAAACTAACGTCGTTTAGGTCTTCCCATTTTGCATTCTCTTACTTTGAACTGAGCCCAGTTCTGCTTATGCTGTTTACTCTTTTTATCACCTTGGTGGAGCCCATCATTTCTTAGGCATGGTAATGTAGCCTGGACAATCAGTCCTTTTTATATGAAAGTTTGCTTTGGGATAAAGGTAAATCATACATGCATGATGGCCTGATAAATTGAGAACCAATCCATCTCAGATTCTGAACAATGGATCGAACTATGTCGCATCAAAATCCTCAGAATCTGACTTTTTCAGTCTTAATGTTTAGTTTATAAGGGGATGAGAATGGCAGGTAAAAACGGGAAGATGATGGAGGGAACTACTTTGATTGAAAGACATGATAAAAATTTAGTAAAAATGATTTGATTTCATTGGAAAAATAAAAAATCCAATTAGAACAGCTATACCATATTCTGTTGTTGAGAGATCATACTCATTTTTATTCGACTTATTTATAAAAGTAATAAAATACACCGCAGCCAGTTCGGTCCTAGCTATTTTTAAAATGTACGTGTACTCCCTTTCCAAAATAAGTCGATATACCATGAGTACTAAGCCCATATTGTTCGGATTGTTATTAAAATATTGATATTTAATCCAAAACCCGTAGCAAAATATTCTAGACACTTTATGAAATAATTGCGAATATGATTAAAATATTTATAGCCCTGTCTTACATGGTTCGATTGACGACTAGCCCATTGAGTGACTTTGGCTCTGGCCATTTCAAGAAGGGATATTACCAGGTTGGGTGAGTCCGAGAATGGACAGCCTTCTCTTGCCATCCGGCATTCCTCCTCCTTTCAGGTCCAATCCGAAAGAGAATCTAGTATGCCTTCTATGCATTCTGTGTCCCGGCTGCATTGGTTAATTCTCTTCCATGATTGTGGTCTATATGAATCTTAGGGTCACGGTGACAAAGTTTGTACGATGGGCCTTTTTCCCCTACTGTGTCTAGTTTTGGGCCTTGTCACTGCTAGTGAATCAGGTTTAGTTGTAGACTTCTCCAAATTTGATTCACAATTTGTCTCCTACAATGTCTACAATTTTTGCTCCTAAAATCTGGTTCTGTTTGGTTGGGTTAGGTTTCAGGACAGACAAAACCCTCTCAGCATATGGATATTCGACTAGGCTCACAAAGTTCAGGATATTATTCAGTATCAATATTAATATTTGTCCTGCTTATTATGCTCGCATATTTGGTTTTCCTATTTTTCTTAATACTGAGGGAAAAGATCGGCATTTAAGACACATCATGACACTGCTGTCTGAAGTCATCGTTCCCAAAGAGTAATTGGTTTTTCTTGGGGATAAATGTAATAGTTTACTAAACTTCGCATGAATCATATTTGTGGCCTTAACCCAAATTGCTTATGTGTTCCATGAATTAAATGGTGCTTTTTTCCCCCAAGTATCATTGCGTGCGCTTGATTTTGGTCATATTTGGGCTCATGTGGATTATCACTGCTATGCTGATTGTATGTTAGCTTGAAATATGGGCAGCTGGGACAGATGATGCCCAAGGAAACGGGTGGCAGCAGAGAAGAAGCTGATGCGTTCTTTGAAAAGGGCCAGAGCATGCTGAGGACACTCGGCCTGGAGAGGTACGAGAAGAACCTGAGAAAAGGCATGATCACTGATGCGACCCTCCCCCTCCTCACTGACAGGCGAGTGCTCCTCCATGCTGCTTTTACTCCTGTGGCTGATCTTATCTGATGTGATCTCATCTCATCTGGTCTTCTTGTTCAGTGCACTGAAGGAAGTGAGCATCCCCCCTGGGCCAAGGCTTGTCATTCTAGATCACATTGAAAGGTATTGCTGACAGCAGTCCTGGTTTCCCCCTCCTAAATTACTCATTGTTATTGTTCGCATTCTTCTTATTCTCATTCTTCTCTGTCTCTCTCTCTCCAGGGACCTCGAATTGTCGAAGAGGAGGCCGTGAATTCTTCTCCAAGACCAATGGGAAGATGCGTATTTTGTTTCTCAAGTTTTGATTCATCATTTGTGGTTCACATTCGTTGCTTCTTTTGGACCTTTTGTTGGCTGATCAGTCAACTGGTTTAGAGAGGGAGAGAGGGAGAGAGAGAGAGAGAGAGAGAGAGAGAGAGAGAGAGAGAGATTTTCTAGGTTATTTAGGTGCGGGCCCTTGTAAACTATTCAATTTGGGGGTAAGTCCATTTAATTATTTCACACAGTTCTTCTGTTTATGCCTTGATCTCTTTTTATTACTTATATTGCCACATGCAATTTTTGAGATGGAGTACTTGGGATTAACAGAATTCTCAAACTATGGAACCATCTGCTTTCACAGCGAGTGTTACTTGGCGCTCTAGTCCCTTGTAAACTATCGAACAATTAGGAGTTAGTCCTTCCATCCGTTAATTGGTCAGTCAAGGTCAAAGGTGGAAGCTCTCTCTCTCTCTCTCTCTCTCTCTCTCTCTCTCTCTCTCTCTCTCTCTCTCTCTGGGGTCTTCCCCCTTGTTATGTACGTCTGTCCCATGTTGTACATCAAGGGTCCCATCAATTAGTCCCCATGTTGTTCGACTCAGACTCTTACGTGTACTAAGTATTTGTAGTCATTACTCACTTGTTTTCTCAGGATACATAGATGTTCTTGAAGGAAAGTAACTATGGAGACACAATCTTGAGATTCTTGATAAATAAAAGATCATTAATCAATTAACCGTAATATTTACTGGATTTCTCACTAAGTTTTACAACATAATTTTATGGACTCTATTAAAATCGGTACTCTTAATAAAAGTTTCAAAGTAAATACATTCCCTTGGGCCAGTAATGATAGTATCCTCGTCTTTAGATCAGATCAAATTGAACATCCATGAAGGTAAAATGTGCGGATTAGTCTTCCTCGTTGACTCTTGGAACTACCTCAGTTTTTAACGGTTTACAATAATGTCTTGTGTGCTGGGTGGAAAGATGAGGGACTCAACCGCAAATAGATCGGTTTATAGGAAGTTATGGTGAAATAATTATTATTCGTCATAAGCTCGGTAGATGAAGAGAAGAGGAGGGATTGAGAGACCGTAGGACAATGCGGAATGCTCTTGATCCGAAGAGTAGGGATTGATGTTCTTTATTTGATGGGGGATGATGTGCAAGGACAGCTGTTGGGAGAGTAACTTATGAGTCGTAATAACGTTTAAGAGCTGTTGTTGGGGAAAACTTATGAGTAAACCAAACCCTAACCCATGTAAAAAAATGCCAGGTCAGGGACCAGCCCATCGTCATTCCCCCCTCGAACCACCGTAGAATAAATAGCTCACAACATCACGGACCTGCGGCAACAGCGATGTTGCCCTGGAAGGCGCTCCTGTCCCGTGGAGATGCGGGGAGTAGCCCTGTTTCTTCACCCTTTCCTCCTGCAGCACCGGCGGCGGCGGCGGCGGCGGCTCTGGAGGACAACCACGATGAGCTCGTGGCAATATGCGACCGGAGGACGCTCTACCTCGTGAACATCTTCCTCGGCAGCTCCGCCAATTTCCTCAATTCCTTCGCCGCTGTCTGCGAGGATAAGCTCGCCGACGTTCACAGGTGATGAAGTTTCCTTATTCCATCTTTTTTGTGTGACGCCGTCCGTGATTTTTCCCCTATGTATCACGATTTTAGGAGAATTTTGAGGGTGGATTCGACGCTGCGGATTCTAGAGGCTAAGCTGTGCAGCGCATCGAAGAATAGCGGACATGCGGGAAGAAAGGAAGACGGGAAATCAGAATTGGAGTGCCACCGTCGTCCCTCTTCCTTGGCTCCCAAAACAGCACCTTCGTCTCCACCTCTTCATCTTACCGATCTGCAAGATGCGAGTTCCAGCGATCTACAAATCCAGGAGACCTCAATTTCTACAACAGGGCGACGCTAATCGTTGTCGGAGCAAACGGGACCAATCAATTGATACGAGGAACTCGGGATCGTGTAGAGCCAGTGAGATACATCAGAATCCTTTGTTGGCACCCATATTTTCCCCTCCTCAGATGAGTTAAACCAAATCTTCCTCTTTCGCCTTCCAATTGTTTCTATGTTTTCACGTCGATTTTCACGTGTTCGAAAGAACCCTAAGACCATATTTCACTCCTACAAAGAAATTTGCCAAATGGCAAGGCGAGCCAAATGCTCAGTATTCTTGACAGATCACAATGGCCTAAGTTTGAGAGTCTCTAGGCGAGTTTGCCTCTGCATGCCCATATGTGCGCTTGACTATTGATGTAAATCCATCTTAGTATCTGTATGTTTGTGCTTACACTTGTTTACCTATATATGTGCAGAGCTATGCCCATGCTAGTTTTCGGCCTTTCTGAAAATCCTTTAAATCCTCTAAGATTAAATCAATACGCATAATAGTGAACCATAAACATTTGTATATCCAAAGCTAGTAGTTCTCGTGCCACTGATAAGAATTTCCTATCGTGATTAAACTAGAACTGTAAATGCATGTCTTAAGAAGTTAATGAATTTGTGATAAAATTAAATTTAGATCACCTCTAACGAAATATGAATATATAGTAGACACATTGAATCTTGTTTTTCATATAAAAAAATCCTTATTTCGATAACTTGTGATGCTTCAATTTTTTTAAAAAAATATTAAAAAAATTATAAAAATCTAAGCGGCCGCCAAAACATTCTAAATTCAATCAAGTAATTCTCCATTGATAAATGATCTTAAATTAACACTTTCATATCATGGCCATCTAGTACACTGGTTTTTAATCTCAATATTTTTCCCAACATTTTGTATGAAGTATGATGTGCAAGTCATTACTTTGCTAATTGCAATTTTTATAATTATAAATATATTTTTTAATAATATTAAATATATTAATGATTTTTAACATATTTCTAATTTTGCTTGACATGCTCTTTTGTCCAAACAAATTCTCAAAAGATTTATTTGAAAGGTAGTCTTCACCAATTTAAAACTCCTTTAAATGATGGGTATAAATAACTTTTAGGACAAAAACTAACCTATATGAATGGTTTATAAAATACTTCTAAACACTTATGAGGATGGTGAACAAGGTATTAAAATTATTTATTGTTGCTTATTTTGATGATATTGGTTATATTGTAATACATAAATTTATAACTTTAAATGTTATACAGAAATTTAAAGAAAGGTAATTTCATAGTTAACAATTTGGTATCTCTAGGCTAATAATCAATGGAGACTATACTAGGTAAAAAAAGATATTCAAGTAATGAGAAAATGTCTAATGCCCAGGAATATCCACAAGATACACAAATTTCATTGATTAGCATCTTTTACCACATGTTCATTAAAATTTAAATATCTACTATTGAACCAATTATTGAATGCATGAAGAATGGTAAGTTTCTTTCAAATAGATAAAGTAAATAAAAGGTTCAATCAAAGAGTAGAAACTTTGAGAAACTATTTGAAGTAAAATACAATGCATAAACCATGAGAGTAAGAGTTGTGCTATCTCGGTTGGATCATTAAATAATACTTTGATGTTATCTCATTTTCCAAATATGCTTTATATGAGGAAAAATATAATCATATCAAGATATAATTCAATAATACTATTTAATGCTCTTATGAAAATTCATTAAATATATATGTAATCTATGATGTTAAAAATATTTATTTGATTAATTTTATCATGTGTGATTATCACTTTACATATTATTGTAGAGATCATAATATTTAGAGAAAAGAATATAGTAAGAAATAGACTAATTAAGACACTCAAATCAATGAAATTTTGTGAAACAAAGTACACATGAAAGATAATGAATTAATTTATTGAACTCAGACTGCTCATTTTGCCACAAATGAGTCTTTAAATACTAATGAACATACTTTAAAAATCATTTTAAATGTTTTGAATATCTGAAATCATGATTAAAAATATTGAAAGTATGACTAATATGTTAACGATCATATTTTATTTGAGGCAATGCAAACAAGGTCATGATTTGTTAAAACACCATCTTATTTGGATGAGTATTATCTTCTTTGTTTTTAATGATATTAAATATTTATTGAATTTGATTGAAGAATATGATTTGGAGATAAATGATGACTATAATGAAACCATATTAGATTTTTAAAAAGGATATTTATGTCATTAATGGACATTATATTTATTTCTCAACTATTGAAATTTATATTCATATTTTTAAAAAATAAAAGTTGGAATTGCATAAATTGAATAAGACTTTCATACTTGATTTATCTGAAGATACCATGTCTTCTCAAAGGCTAGCTATTTGAGAATGATTATCTATATCTCCTCAACGACCTCAAGGTTTCTATTCAGCATTTTCAAAAAACAAATCTTGAGATAAATTGAAAAGACTTCACTATTGGTCAATTTGTACAAAAGTGATGACTGAAGTAGTTGTTATGTACATATTAAAAGCTTCTCCTTGGCCAAACTCAAGTTGCCATGCAATCCACCCTCAGCCAACATCATTACAAAAATAGGACACCAAGAATTAGAGTCTTACCTTCATTCATTAGAATTAGAGTCTTACTCTCGAAATCCATCACTCATAAATATACTAGGGGTTAAAATCTCTTACATTATTTTTAGGATAAAAGTTGTGATTGATAATCTTTAAACACTCAAGGGAGCTAAACCTACTAGATTGTTGGCCACCTAGAATCATGAATCTTGGAGAGGATTTCAATTTTTTTTTTAGAGAGAGCTGAACCCAATAATTAATGGTTATGATCAAGATAACAATTGTAGTGAAACCCAAGAATAACTATTATTCTTAGAATTACTAATCTCAAAAAATCATAAAATTTAAGACTTTGAGGGAAAAATTAGAGAATTTCAAAAGTCTTTACCAAAGTTAAGATTAGAATTCAATCATTTCAACATCTCATTCTTTTGCCTAGATGTGACATTAAATCCAGCAATCCCAAGAAGATTGTACTATTGCATAATATAGTGAAAAACATACTGATGTGAATTGAAAATAGATAATTTATAAAATAAATTTTATGATGTAGTTAGCTGCGTATACTTGGAAAACATTATTTTATTCAATGATAATTTTTCTTCACTGGTCAATAGGCATTAAAATTTATTAATAGTAAAACTAGTGTTAAGAAAATAATTGTAACATACATCTTATTAATCCAAAGGCTCAATTATACCATCAAACATAAATCAAGAAAATTAAATTGAGTAACAGATGAACTCAACAAAAGAAGAACATTCTGAAAGATTCTTCATGCTGAAATCACTAATTTTTAATATTTGAGGATTATATAAAAATGATGAAAACTCGACCAAAATTTATGATGCTTGCATACATAGTCAATTGATCAAAGGATTTCATATACAATGAAGAATTTCTCACATAAATCTGTTATACATTCTATGAAGCTAATTAGCTTTCTACAATTAATAGAAGAACACTACTATTAGCTGAGTTGAAGAAAGGTATCAAAAAATCACGTGAAGTTGTCAAGTTTGTTATAAAAGATATTTGATGAGTCTTCATTATCATGAGTTAATAATTAATAAATAATATAGTTTTAGCCTTAATTCATAATAAATAAACTTATATTTATATTAAATTATGAAAAGTAATTTTCAATTAGTTAATATGATTTTTTTGCTAATTATGAAATTTTATGTAAAATTATATAATTTTTATAATCATATTTTTTAGATAAATAAATAAAATAAAATAAAAAGATAGAAAAAGAGAGGGACCCACTAGCTGATTGGGCCCGCAAGTGAGTCGAAAGCACAATAGGGGCAGAGCTGCGAGTAGGAACTTGAGCAGCTATGGATCAATAGGGGCACATGTGTGTCACTCCTTTTCCACATCATTGGTGGCCAACCAGGTATGGGGTAAGAAGTGGTCGTACACATGCAAGAAAGGGACTCATTTATTCCTAAATCTCTTATTACTATAGATTCATCTCAAAATTTGACGTGTAATTGATGTGGTACTAAACCTAAGTCACACTTTCTCCAAATGATTTTATAATTTTTTTACCTCAAATATTTCTTGTTTATCAGAAGGAGGTACCTTGATGATATCATTTTATAAGGATATTTACATACTTATTTCACTCTCTCTCATACAAGTAGGCAACCGGCAAGGGTTTAAATCCTACTAGACAAAACTCATATTTTTATTTGATTAAATCGTGACTTTCTTGCATATCATCGGTGAAGGATTAAGCTACTAGAATCGTTCAATCATCGATGAAAATCTCATCAACGTGATTTGTAAAGCATTGTTACTAAAATTATTGAACGATTCACGATAAAAAGATTGCAAATCTATTGAGTAAATCATCTCTGATTGATTGACGAATAAGTTGTCATCGAGAAGAAGATAATCCACTGAGAAATGAGTCGCCACCTCCTGAGAATGTATCAAATGCGATGAAGAGCCTCATCTTGTTGTGTGGACATAAGGATGAAGCTCTCTAACATGCACCGAAGAGTCCCTAAAGTCGTTATTTTTTCGCTCTGTCGAGTGACAGCTGCCGAAGACAATTCAGTGACCTATTTCATTGATCTCTAGACCTTACAAGAAGACTAGAAATTGCCCACGTCATCTTTATTCAAGGAGAGCCTTTGAGGTCGCGGACACTATATGACAATCCTCTCGAACACTTAGAATTCTGAAGTATCGTCAACGCATCACTACCGCGACGTCAGAACTCTATTTTATCGTTTTAACAAGTTCAACTTTCACCATTATTTTTTAAACTTTGAAAAGAGATTCAACGAATGCCTAAGTTGTCTATATTCAAGGAGAGCTTTTGAGGTCATAAGCATTGTTCGATGATCCCCCCAAACATAATTCTGGTGACCACTATCGTGAGGACGAAACTCTACCTTTTCTACTTTCAACTTAATT